CGCTAGAGAAGCTCTACGTATAACTCTTCAACGCGTATACTGCCGTTTGCGCTGCGTTTTATAATAGGCATACGAAGAAAAAGCACTAAACTACATATTTTATTCCAAAGGGAAGGCAGACGAGCAAGGACACTACTAATGGTAAGTTGCCCATGGAGAATCACTTCATCAGAGTTGTTGCAGCTAACGTGTATCAATTGCAGAGCTTTATAATAGGCATACGAAGAAAAAGCACTAAACTACATATTTTATTTCAAAGGGAAGGCAGACGAGCAAGGACACTACTAATGGTAAGTTGCCCATGGAGAATCACTTCATCAGAGTTGCTGCAGCTAACGTGTATCAATTGCAGAGCATATGATCTCGGGTTACCTCCACTGTCCTGACTGATTTCCCTTCACGCCAGTTCCCTTTTTTGTGGGAGAACTCCTTGATAGATCACCTGTCACCAGATTGGGGGGGCGGCAGAGATAAGTAGGACTGCCGGTCAGAACCACAGTGGGTACCCACTAAACATCCCACTTTGCACTCATCCACTCCTCCAAATCTACTCACCGGCGCATCTGATGGGATCACGGAACACGGAGACGAACAATCTTCCGACAGCCGGTGCCACTACGGCCTTTGATGACATTTGATGAAATGTCGTGTTTTGGTGAATCTATATATATATATATATATATATATATATATATATATATATATATATATAGGTATTATTCGAAGGGATTTTGTGTCAAAATTACATTTCAAGGTAAAAACCATAGATATTTGAATGCACGTGTCACGGTTTCAAGTCAATTGATCGACTATTTTCTGAGTTTTGCGAGCACAAATGTATGTACATACGCAAAACATAAAACATTACCTCTACTTTTTACTGTGTACTAAAATCCTTCTCTATTATAAATCCCAAAATGGAATTTATTTAGAAAGTGCGCTAGTTTTATGAGTTGTATAATATTTAAAACAACCTTTATATAAATAACATTTGTTCAAATGTGTAATTGGTTGATTTTTGTGAAATCTTATGAATTGCCCGAGAGTGTTCTGTACCAAAAAACTAAATAAATTTTAACATAATAATACACAAAAAAATAATAATTTTAAATTGAAGTTTAAATGTTTTTTAAATGTTTTCTTAACCTAACTTCTTCCTCGATTTTTGTAACATTGAAGGATAACTTCAAATTTATATCCTGTACTTATTATTATTTTAATATTCTAATTTATACTACACTTTTCTTGAAATGCAAAAAGAAGATACCCAAATCTAAATATTCGTAACATGTTATTTTATTTTATATTATTTATAATTAAAAAACGGTTAAGGTCGTCAAAAATTTAGGAACGTGTGTGTGGAAAGCATGTGTACCTTTTTGTTATATTACTTGTTAAGTCAGTTTGTTAGATATGATCGTTTTAAAGTTGATTAATTTCCGCAAAGTACCGACAGTTCTTGATAGATAAACATTTACTCACCGGCCCCAGCCACCGTGTTCAACCGACAATATTACCTAATCCTTAGATCAACCGACGGACCTACCTACGTTGTTGTCTTTTCTCCTTTCGGAAACTTTAATAATTTCCTTATTAATTTTCTAAGAAGCATTAGGAGTAAAATAAAAATTACTTTTCTTTTTCTCATAGGACGAAACGCAGAAGTGCTACATTTCAACTTCACGGTGGTCTTCTGTGAACCTGCCCATTCGTGCAACAGCGAACACTGTTCCGTGGCCCTACTACCGTAAAGTTTAAAAATTTTTAATCCATACTTACTAATATTATAAATGCGAAAGTAACTCTATCTGTCTGTCTCGCTTTCACTCAAAAACTACTGAACTGATTTAAATGAAATGTTGTACACAGATACTCTAGAGCCTGTGAAAGGACATAGGCTATTTTTTAATTAGAAAAAAGTGTTATAAAGGGTGGAAGGATATTTATTTAAGGGCTTCAACGCGAGGGAAGCCGCGGGCGAAAAGTTAGTTAAATATAATTATCTACTCTTATCTACTGTTTATCGTAGTTCACGTGTAATGGTTAGATCTGACGGTCGTTCATGAATCATCATAGACAAAACTAACTACCCTAACTTATTCTAGTTAGGTTAATGGTTAAGTCTTTGGAACTTTCACTTAAATTTATTAATTATACTGTTATAAAAAAAAACTTTTCCATTGTAAAAGGAACACCCTGTTATCTCTAGCCTGCCTAGTTAGAAAATATATCATTTTGTTCATATTTAAATCTTATAAATTATATAAAAATGGATTGCTGTTCGTTAGTCCCGCTAAAACTCGAGAACGGCTGGACCGATTTGGCTAATTTTGGATTTGATATATTCGTGGCAGTCCAGGGAAGGTTTAAACGATAAGAAATTATGGAAAAATTGCATGCAAAATTGAAATAGCAACAAGTTTATTTTCCCAAACAAACTGTACCTGTCAACCTGGCAAACGATTTTGAACACGTTCCGATTCCTCTAGAAATAATTGATATGGCAAAACAACGTTTGCCGAGTCAGCTAGTTAACCTTAATATAAGGAACAAAAACTTACCAAAATACTTGACTATCAGACTGTTTAGGAGTTCAAATTTTTACTATCTCATATTTTATTATTACGATTTTATTTAGTTCCTTTTTGTTAACGTGTAGAGAAAATAATGTTACATTCAGTAAGATAAAATTTTTACTCAATGAAAGCAACCAGTCGACGTAGTCCAGAAAGCGTCTGAAAAAGCGAAAGAACTCTTCAAGGAACCCTTTAGAGGTTTTCTCGCTCTCGGACAATTTTTGATTGTCTGGCAGCTCTAGAGCCGTAATCCTCCGCAAACTTAGGTACACTAAAGCGTTTTTAAGTGCAGCGCTAAAGCTCTAGGCTGTATGTACTGAGTGCTGTAATTGCGCCCATCTCCGATGTTACTACAAATATTATTTTGTTTAATCCGAAAACGTTGGGCTATCGTGCCGTTCTCGACGTTTCAAACATTTTTATAACAAGGAAACTCTTTCTGCTTGTGATGTTATTAGCATGTTTAATCTCTCTTTACAGTAGTGGTGATGAATGATTGTTTTATTGTCAAGTTTATTTAATTAAGGCCATAAATATATATGAACATTTATTTTTGCATGCGTGTTATATGATAACAATATTTTAGCATATAATAAAATATACCTGAAAAAGATATACATCACTTGACTTATATATTTATATAGATGTACCATATTGCTTTAATGTAAAGAAATTTACTAATTAGGTGCCAAAAGCTATTTAACCACCATCAACACAACCCGGAAATTGGCATTTTCAAACATACGACCTCTAATCGTAATTAATGTTCAAATTACCATAAATTATTATTTTAACTACAAATTTAAATTTTAAATAATATAATTCACTTTTAAAATGTTATCGTATATACAAGATCGTAATTCTAACTGATACTTTGAATTGTATCATGGCGAACACATGTAAATATTTCAGTACTTTTAAAATGACTCTTGTTTCCTTTCTAATCTAATAATGTTTTATGCGTTTGGAAAAACAGTAGTCTATGATGTTCATCTCTTAAGGAAGTGATTACGAGGAAACACTGAAATTAAAAAGTGAACCCAAGCAACAGGTGGTTAAACTTCGTCTGACAAAAGAGGCAGTTTTGCTTACGTAGTGGACTGTTGAATCTTCTTAAATCCATAATTAAAATTCCATTCACAACTACGGTAGAAATAAGACGGTGCTAGGCCCTACTAAAGGTAATTGACCTAATAGCTATTTTTCATTTTAGTGGGGAAAATAATTTGGCACATATACGTCTGTTAAACGTCTTTAGGTTATAGTTTATAATTTTGATTCTGTCACAGTCAAAGTCAAATTTCTTTAATCAATATAGAAGCATGACACTTACTTATTGACTGTCAAAAAACTCTACTACCGGTTCGGAAAGAAAGCCACTGACCTGAGAAGAACCGGCGAAAGAAACTCAGCGGGACATTTTTATTGTATAATAGGATCAAAGTCTAAGCAGTTCGAAGTATGTAGTAACAATATGCACGTATTTATGTTATATATTATGTTTTGGTTTCAGTTTTAATTTTATATAAGGTAAATAACTTTAACTACGGCGTAATTCAAATCAAATAAATTTTAAACGATAGAGAAAAATCACTTATGAATTCCGTTTTTATGTCAAAGTGACAATTTGTTTAATTTTTCTTATGAGCCATTTTTGACGTTTTCTGTTAGTTTATGAGATGTGTTGTGAATGTAACAAGCGTTTTATAATTTAAGTTAATGTTTTGATAATAATCATTCGGTTAATGTGTGTGTTTGTTTTTTAATATGTTGTTGTTAATTTTAAAGAGTGGCTGATAAAAAAAATATTAGAATTATGACATTAGGGTTTAGTGTAGATTATATTTAAATTCAATTGACAAATTTAAAAAAAAAAAAACAAGTTGCATTGATTTGCACAGTATGAATTGATTGATCTGTTTTTTATTTGGTACCATATTACATAGTTCAAGTACCTTATGTACCTGTTTTATAGTTTGAGTGAACATTTTAATAATTATCCGGTTATTGCCTGATTTATGAATGATCTGTCTTAAAATTGACTGAATTGAAAGAAATTGTTTAAATTAGGAAGGCCAAAAGGCTCTAGAAACAGATACTTATAGCGCCGATTTACCAGTTTAATGATATTCGCAGTGACTTGATGCCACAACATGGACCGATTACGGATAAAAGAAGGCTGCCATCGCGATATAACAAAATAATGTGCCACCGCCAGCTGGAGCGGAGTGGGAGCGAACTGTTATATGTGCGGGCCATAACTTGGAAACTTCCTCCGACGCGACCGCCGCCAACTTTCTTGCAAAACTCCGCTACTGCGGTCCCGCGTCGCAACTTTTTGTATTTTTAACGAATCTTCCAGAAACGTCCACAAAACGGTGTAATTCGAAGAGTAACCGTGACTGCTCAAGTGCTGTTTACGATATGCGGTCGGATTTTAATTAGTTTGAATGGAATTAGATACTATAACTAAGTTATCCGGTGAAGTCAATTTAATGGACTCTTTCAATTCTTATACAATATAACTCATATGAATGAAAACGACACAACAAACGACTAAAAAGCACGGTCCTGACGTAAAAGTTTATATCATAAATTAGAGACATATTGAGGCTACCTGAGTAATAAAATGATGAATACATGTTAAAAATCAATATGCCCGACTGTGTAAGATAGAAATAAAATTATTTTATATAATTAATTTATCTATAAAACTGTTATCGTCATTAATTGGACGATAACATTTTTAACACATCGCCGTAGAAATGTGCAATAATTTCCGTATAAAATATATCGGTGCTTTCAATAAAACTCTTCGCGCGCATTCCGAATTCTCCTTTAAGCCCTATCTATACAACTAATTCTAAAGCAAAGCCGTTAACGGCTCCTCTCATACAGTTTATCTGTGTACCAATCGACCAGAGCGCTCGTGTTCAAAGATACACACAAGAGCAAACAACATTTTACTTAAATTGAAAGCACCAACGATCCCGATTAGCCGCGCGGAGGTAAGTTGCAACGTCTGCTAGAAATAATTAGTACAATGCGACGTAACTCCGTATTCATTCCAGGCGCACAATGTAAAAACGGGCCGCCGTTGCCTCTGTAGCCTTAATATCCGCTGTTTCAGACTCGTAACCGGCTAACAATATTGCATTGCGTACGCCACGCGCTAGTTCCGTACTTATCGCGAAAGTTTCAGCCGCCGGCTTGGGCGGGGGGCGGCGGTGGGTGGCCGTGGGTCGGGGGGGGGGGGGGGGGGCAGCGCGCTCCCCGTTGCAGTATCGATCGCGTCTCGCGCTCGCTGCAGCGCTGTCTTCCGCAGATCAGTCCTTATCGTCGGCCGGAACGAGCCTCGGCGATGGCGCTAAAAAGCCTTTGTGGAACATTCCAGATGGCGGCGCACGCACGTCGCCAGCAGGCGCTGCTATCGCGTGCGCTCACGCTTCACGGCTTAGAGCCTGTTTATCTAGCACCGCTCCCGAGTGCATCCGATACGGCGACGGTGCGCAAACATCGAAAAATCCGAACGCGCCCCCCGACTAAACATTCCCCGCAGACGGTTTTAGACAAACAGCGTGCGGCGAATGGGGCGAGAAGGGCCCTAGAAAGCGTATAAAGCCATGTCCGACATAAACTCATTTATGATATTAAAATTTGGGCGGCTTTGCGGCCGAGGTGCGCTCGGAACGCACAGAGCGGCTATGAAATTTATAACGAAAGCCGTAGAGCAAAGTTGCAAGCGTTGAAAATATTGTAAGCTGCACTCGTTTCGGGCAAATTAAATGAAAAACGAAGTTTCCCCGCCGGCCGACAAAGTTGCCCATTCAAGTTTCGCTCGGCGGGGAGTACAGATAGACTACTTACTACCTATATCTACAAACGTTTCTTATTACTCGATATGAAATTATAGTAAAATATTTATAAAACTAAATCCTGTAACGTAAAAAGAAATATAAAACCACACAAGAAACAGTCCAAGCCGAATTGATATTTTAGCACGATAAAAATAATTTAAATAATGTTTATGTATACTAAAAATGCAATGAAATTGGAAAAAACATCACCAAAGTTTGTACATAACCATATAATTCTACTGAAAATGCAATTTCGAGAGCCGAGAGTATCTCAAATAACATTGCAGCATAAATATAATGGAGCTCGGCTTTCACCGGATTAGAATTGGCTGACCTATAGAGCGCTCCTTTCTTATCAAAGTACTTTCTAGGATTTACCATTGAAAATGACTCGCGAAGACGTCTTTTATAAACAATTTAAACTAATTGCCTTCCATTTCAAGCCCCTTGGATATCATACTCGTATATCTTTACGCTTATCCCTTTAGCTAAGTTAGTTATTACAGTACATTGCGAACGTATTTCCTATTTTGACAGAGATTCAGAGAACAGTTAGTTGATATAGCTCAAATCCGTGACACAAATCACAACGCGTGCGAACAGAAATTACAGTTTCAGTGAGTCAAATCGATGCAAAGCGGCGAATATACAAAGTGAGTGAACATTTTGGCCTTGCGCCAGCGACCCTCGACCTCGGTGCACTGCACTGCTTGCCCACTTCACCACTGCCGGTTGGAAGACACTCCATGCGACAGACACACACACCTACCCTGCAATCCTCAAGTACGGATATCCGATGCACTGCGATGAAGACGCATACAATTCTTCTCTTGATACTGGCTCGCTATATGCAATCGCTTTCGTTTCGGCAACCATTACCCACTGTCAGCTGTTCCGCGTCGCAATTAACAGACACTAATTCAAACTCTCGTCTGCGAGTTAAATAACGATTTTAATTACCATTTACTTATCATTGACGTACATTAAGATAAAAACAGAAGTTCCACGCGGATTCAAGATTTGGAAGGAAAATATTTCGAATCGGCGTGTTATCATGGTGCAGAATAAGGTATATTCGTAGCAAAAGGAAACAGAAAGGCATGGGACGTCATTCACGGATCCTTGGACCTAAAATAACTATAAAATAAGGAGATTAATAACGTAGTGTAATGCTTCTTTTATCTCCATAGATTATTTATATCCACTTATTTACTAACTTACTTTACATTAAGTGATTAGTCGTCTTTTCGTTATTATTAGCTATTACTCTGTATCACTTTTTGGCAAAGTGAATATAATCAGACATCAACTACAATCAAATGTAGATCACTCATACACAATACCAATCTGTATATTAATACTTTTTCTGGTCGTGATTGAACATAGGATATACAATTAAAACTATGTATATTTATATTGAAAACATACAATTTATAGCATGAATAGGGCATACAATAAACATCAGTCGACATTGTCGTATCACGCATTATTTCCCTCATGGTAACTAGAGTTTGTTACGATCTCAAAAATGTATGTAAGCACTTCAGTCGCCGGCGCTTCAGCCTCGGCAATATTCCCTACGACCGCCGACGTTGGAGCTAAGCCAAATTCAATAACACGATTAGGCATACCGAAAAATGTTTATCAATATTTCTGAACATTTATCACTTTAATAAAAAAACAGCATGAGAGTAAATAAGAGAAAAACATTGACGGAAAACATTTACAGATTAAGACATTAGTCTTTCGTCGAATGACATTGCGGGTTACGACTGCTCGTTTCGTGAGCAATTTTCAAATACAAATTTTCTATACAAAATATAATTTTCTATACGAAATATACAAATTTCGCTTAAAATGGAGATACGTTGAGATTAACGTCGGTGTGGCAATGAGTGGTTTGACTCAGTGATTAAAGCGTTTTTGCGCGAAACCGGACGACGTGGATTCGATTCGCGCAGCGGCGAAAAACTTTTCGTCCGTACTTACTACAAAGTTTAATAAATAAGGACTGCATATTTATTTATAAAAAATAATTTTACAGATTCACATAGCAGTCGTATTTACTCAAAGATATTCGAACAACTTTTTTTACTTGTCACAACAACGGGAAATGATGCTGAAGATAGAGTTTGATTTAAATTGCTCTTAGGTTTATCCTTTTATTTATAAATTATCATAAAGTACTTTTAATTCTACAGAAATCGAAAACATGCATTTTTAAGCGTTGTTTGTAAGAGATGGTTATGTATCTAAAATCAATAGTTACCATTAATATTATTAAAATAAATGAAGATTTTCCGTTTACAAGATTATACAATATCCATATAATATTTAATAACCAATATAATACGCTCTTGACCATTTGAAACGAACCCAAATAAAGAGACAAATAAATCAAAAACTGATTCGAGTTGTTTGTTTTATGGTCTAAATAAGGTTTATAGCAATACAATTTCCTTATTTAAGAAAAAAACAAAGAGTTGCTTGGTTAAAAAAACAATTGATACATATAGATACGTCCTCTGGAAGAAAAATAATACTTGTTGTACTACGTCGCAAACTCCATTTTTTTGTAACTTGCTCCTTGCGTCTCGTCTACTGTGCTGTCTGTCGGTACCGTGTTATATACGAAAAATTCCTTACCGAAGATGCGAAATATTGAAAACATTATTCAAATTATGTGTAATTTTTATGATAATTTTTAATAAAAATTAAAAGTTCTTCTAAGTTCTTTGCAATACAAATTAGTCGCTGAAAAAACTCTAAAGCAAATAAGATTATTTTGATTGGAATATATGGTTTAATTAATTTAACAATTAAACAATTTATTAGTATGAATTAATAAGAAAAAAACACTGAGTGATATTTTTATCATCCTATTAGGTCAAATTATATAATCAGTTCAATGTAGTGTCACTGTTATCGAATATGGTATTTATTCAAGTAGAGTCTAAATCAGATTCGATACATAGCTCTGGAAACGATTTTTCTATTTCTCAAGAATTCAAAGAAAGGAAAACTTGTCATTTTTTATCATTTTTTTTAAATGATAAACCAGACGTTGCTCTGTTCAATAAAAAATCATAAGCTTCATCATAAAATGAAGACTTACTAAATACATAATTTTAACATTAACATAACTAACAAAGTAGAGTTAACAAAATAAAATAGAGCCATATAGAAATGATGCATCTTGATGTCTAGATACACATAAAATAACTAACTATCAACATATATAATACACACAAATTAAGCGATGTCTGATATTAGATTCAAAATAAAATCAAAAATATCAAACTCGTAAATACAGCTCACATCGACAGCATTTCAGATTCAACTTCTTTTAACTGAAGTCGTCATTGTAAAATCTCCGGTGAACGAGTGAATTTCTCGTGCTAAGGAGAGGCACGTTGGATCCCGGCCAGATGGCTCTTGAGAGGAGCACCCTCCGACGCCTCTGACTGACTCTAATTGCTACCAACTCTTGCGTAATTATCTCAATTATGTGAATTGTTAATGTCGCTTAGCGAAACAAGTGTACAAATGTTGTCATTTTTGACAAACAAATAATTAAACCCGTATTATGGACACGGCTGATTCAATGGCAAACATTGAACTGTTGGTTGTAATAAAATTGAAATTACCAACGACTTGATGTAATACACCATAGAAGAAGCCAGTTTCGTTGCGGAATATTAAGTTATACCCCAAGGCTAAGCGCTGTAGTATTGGAATTAAGCCAAAACACAATGTCTGGTCGCAGTTACATTTACACAAGCGACGTCTTCAGTAATCAAGGGTACTGCGACTATACCAGAATGTTACAGACGATACTCGAACATATTCCATACAATTATTTCCTATGTTTATATCAGTTTTATTTTATTTAAATGTTTATGTAAAAGACATATAAATCATAAAACATGTTTGCGTACTGACGTACCACCTACGAAAGAAATCAAACACATCACATACAAATTTCAATTCTTTCTTACTAATTTTGTAATAAAAAATTCTTATATTTGTATAATAAAAAAACAAGCAAAATGTATTATCGTATTTCTGTATTTGTTTTAATAGGATAAATGATTATGTACATATATCATTTATTGAAACTAAATTAACGGACCAAAAGTACCTGGAGGACCGAGCTTTGCTCGGTTTGTTTTTTTTTTGTTAATCGTGTATTTTGGAAATTACATTTAGATACAAATTACTGAGTAATGAAATATGCATAATATTTTTCGATCTTGCCGATGTAATAATAAGAAATTATGAACTGGTGTTTTTCACAAAAGAAAGAACTTAAAAAAAGGGAAAAAAAAAGTAAAAAAAATAAGTGTGTAAATGATCGTGATACGAACCGCGGCCGTCTGTTTTGGGGCCGCCCGATTACCGACCGAGCCATTATGACATTTTTTTTTGCGGCGAAATTTACCGTCATATTCGAATTATATTTTTCATTCCCTGAAAACAGGGATAAAAGGACATTTTCTAAAAATGAAACCTAGCTAGATCGATTTTTCGCCCCCGAATCTACGCACATACTAAATTTCATGAAAATCGCTGGAGCCGTTTCCGAGATTGCGATTATATTTATATATATACAAGAATTGCTCGTTTAAAGGATAAGATTAAGGGTTTGGTTGAAAACTTGAAAAGATTAATAGAACGTAGGTAGATACCGCCATTAATTTACAATTTGTTGTTTGCATTTATGATGCCAATAAAGTTATAATAATAAAATCACTTTATTGTCTTATAAGTTATGACTAATATAGCGTTCTTTATCTCATAGTACATAATATAATAAGGACAAAAGGAGGTGGCACAGCTCGTGCTGACCAGGACAATAGTTACGTCCGAGCAGCGCTGGTTTTCAGCCGTTTCCCACTTCTTGGGGGGGTTTTCGAAAGTTTTAGTGGTGGCCTACCAAGCGAAAATTTATGTTAAAAAGTAAATAAAACCTGTATAAAAAATAACTGTAGCACTCGGGGACTGCCGTTGTAAAGCTATTGCATGGCATTTTTTATCAACTTATGCAGTTATAATTATTTATTTATTTTTTATTTATGCAGTATTTTTTAGTTAGAAGTTAATATCGTTTAAAATATTTTTATTATCTTACAATACATGTAGGTTATTCAGGAATTTTTATCATTGAAACTATAGGTTTATGGTAACTGAAATAAGAAACATAAGTTTGAGACTTGATATCCTCTAAATGTCATATCGTCATATTATAATATTATATTATAATATATTATAATATTATATTATAATATCATATTATAATATCCATCTGTGCGAGCTTCCTACAGTCGTACCATATACATACACACGTTAAGCGAACGCTCAGCCGAGCTACATGGTAGGCGGAGTACAATTTCTTGATTCGGTTGCCGCGATAAAAGCTATGCAATACCTTAAAAGAAAACAATATGAAATATATACACACATACTACATAACACAATAAAATAGAATAATTATTAATCCTAATCGAATCGGAACTCTGTGTGCAATTTTATGTGCAAGGGAGTTGGGATACGTAGTTTCTTGATTATATCGACCGCCGATTACTGTAATTGACGTCTTTTACCCACGAGAGCTTTTCGTATAAAAATGCTGTATTTTCATTCCAAATCACCCTATGAACTGTGCACGCGTATAAAAATTCCCTTCTAGCAGACATGTTGAATATGTTTTTTTCTATTCAAATATATGTAAAGAAAAATATTATTTTCTTTTATTTAAATATTTTCTTTAATTTAAATATTTTCGCGCACCGGCCGTTGATAAAATTTATTTTAAAAACTATGTTTGACGCCGGATTATAACAGAAAAAGAATTAAGCTGTCATATGAAACAGTTCATGAAAATAATCTTATTACAAAGATATTTAATAAGTAAAATAGTGATTTAGGAATCGACATTGTGATTATTAACATTAAATGTCGTTTCTTTAATTACAGGTAAAGTTTTAATAGTAAAATCTTTTATTTCTGTTATTTTAATTATTATTTGTTATAGTTTCAAAATCTTACAATAAATCTTTAATTACAGAGAAACTCAATTGTGTTTTGATTGCTGTGTCATCCTAATCACTGAAAAATATTCTTATATATATATATATATATATATATAGTATTAAAAATGATTTCATTGCTTTACGCGATTACTTCGCATTGTTTATAAAATTATTTTACGATTTAACTATTATTTTTAAAACCTATTGAAGAATATTTTTGACCGTACAATGGCTTCGATCAAGTCCTCGCTAAAGAACATCCATTGTTTCCAAGGACATCGCGTTTCAATTAATTCTAACATTGTTGTTGTTGATATGAGTTATTAATTTGTTATGAACTAGCGACCCGCACCGGCTTCGCACGGGTGCAATGTATTATACATATAAAACTTCTTCTTGAATCACTCTATCTAGTAAAAAAACGTCATCAAGATCCGTTGCGTAGTTTTAAAGATCTAAGCATACATAGGGACAGACAGACAGCGGGACGACTTTGTTTTATACTATGTAGTGATGACATTTCAATATCGTCAAGACGCTTATTTAAAACCACTTAGCGCAGTAATAACGGAAAAATCTATTTCACTCCACTAACCTACGTTATAGAGCCGGCAGCGGGAGTGAAGTACGGATACAGTGAGGCGCGTATCGTTTTATTGGGTCCATGAAGGATGGAGGCTCATCCCACTCCAGAAGGAGCATACTTGACCGCAACAGATGGCTGCGCCCCCCCATCTACCTAACCTAATATGTGTCGTAAGTAATAGTGCGTATATGAGCCCTGTCTCCTCTCATTAACCGACCGGCATTATAACGTTCATTGGCGTTTAAGTAGTGACATCCTTATAAAATATTTTTTTATTATAGAATATTTATAACTTCATGATCAAGATTTACTAATGATAATATTGATAATATTTGTTTATATTATTGTTATTATACATTTGACGGTATTGTTGTACGTTTATTTTCTGTATTTTGCTTGATAAAGCAGTAAGCAGTAACTTTGACAGTCTTTTACTGTATTTTATATAATTTTTCGTAGGAAAGTAACTTCTTTCAAGACACTGGGGCTTCATCGGCTCTTTCATTTTGCAGTCAATGGAAACCCATAGAGCTATTCTGTTAAACACGAGCGAAATGTCCAAAGGGTAAAACCTATTATTAAGATTCCGCTGTCTGTCTGTCTCCGTCTGTCACTAGGCTCTATTTAATGAACCGTGCTGTATCTCATAGTTATACATTGAAATTTTCACAGATGTATTTCTGTTGCCACTATAACAAGAAATAATAAAGACTGAAAAAAAAATTGGGGCTCCAACAGGCATGTTTTTTTCGCCGCTTTTAAAGATAATGGTACGGAACCCTACGTGCGCGAGGTCGACTCGAACTTGGCAGGTTTTTATAATCACAGTTGTTTCCCGTGCACAATACATCGTATCTCCGTTACAATATGGCATAAATATTTTTTTTTAATTTGCCACAGATAAAAAAATAAAAACGGGAAGATTGTCGTATGCTATGAAAAATATCCCAATTATAATTGGGTATTTCACTGCACAGCGACGTCCAAATACCTGAATAGGAAGTCGGAATGAGAATGGGAGCATTCATTTCTTCGCCAGCTGCTGGGACGAGATGAGATGTTCCGCTGCACGCGGCCGGCGGCGTTGCATTTCCGAACGCATCGGCGTTCAATATCCGCGGGGATTGTTTGTAGATCCCACCCGCTCCTCGCCCCCTAGCCACCCCGCCGATATCACTGCTCTAATGGAGCCTAGCGGGGTGTCTGTTTTAGAAATAAGCTATGCCGTATTATGTGCGAATAATAAATTATCGTTAAGGTTATAATTAGACCTTGCGCACGTTAGTAGCTTGAATGTAGTTAGTAACCAGAAACGCTGTATTTAGAAGTTTTTTATCAGCCCTTTCGTGAGTTTTTGTCTAATAAATTTATAATTAATAAGTGAAAAATCTATAAGGATGTGTCTGTGATTAAGTCACACGGGGCTTTTTTTCTAGTTAATTATATTGTCTAAACTTTACCGACACCCCAAGCTTTATTAAAATTTTTGTATGTCTGCCTGTGTTTATCAGCCTGCCTAATCGTTTGTTTGTCCAGATTAAAGTTTGAAACGGTATAACCACATTATCAGTCATATATCATTTCATTATATCATTTCAAAACAAAATATAGAAAATGGATTCTGATGCAACAACAGCTCTCTGGTACCACATGATAAAACATTGCAGATTACATTTATCACTATAATGGTATGTTTTAATTTCATGGTGAAGTTTTTAGCTATTGTTATTTTTTTTCCCATTATTATTATATCTTTGTTTTCAATTATTAAAATTTTAAAAGTGTTCTGTTAGTTAATGTCAGGCTGGGGTAGAATATCAGTCTTGTGCACAATGTGTGTAACAAACCTTAACACCAGACCTTTTAGTCTAAAATCTGACCAATATAATTGTATTTTAAATTACTTGTACCTACATTATTTGTGATTTTAGACCAATAAAGACCTATTATTATTATTATTATTTATATATAAGAGTATTTGGTATCTCAAGTTATTATTATTTCTCAAGTTTTTTTTGCGGTACGCCATAACTTCCATAATATAATGATTCAAAAACTATTTAAAGCTTATATTTGCGTATATTGACGAAAAATAGTTAATTTAAGTTAATAATTTCATACAAAAAAAATCTTTTTAAATGAATTTTACCGTTATACTTCAAAATAAAATACTTTTCATTGATAAATAATTATGTGTACATTACTATATTATTATTTTTCTTTATGTGAGAACGAGCTAGTGAAGCGAGCTGACGGTTCAGCTGATATTAGGTGACAATCACCGCCCATTGACATTTGCAACACCCGTAAGGTTGCAAATGCGTTGCCACCTTATAATAAAGCGGGCCCCGGCAACAATCGGAATGGGCCTGCCACGCAACAGCCAAGACTGTTGCGTGGTCCTAACACAGTTGTCTTCGTAATCGGACACGGTACTTTGTAAAAATTTCACATGAGCCTACTAGTCTCATTTATATTCGGTATAATTGTTAGTGATACCCATAATTGATAAAGGTACGCAAAAGCCCGTACTTATAACTTATTACCAGGCCACTCAGATAGTTTTTCGAAAAAAAGTGTTTTATATATGATGCACTGGCTGATTGTAATTATTTAAAAATCAACGCTTTTTAAATAATTACAATAAGCCAGTGCATCATCATCATATATAAAAACTTTTAGAACCAACGCTTACCAAAGGAAGAAATCGAAAAGCGCAGGGAAAGTGATCGCTAGTTTCTTCACTTCGACAGGGAATCGTAATGGAATTGATACCATCAATGCCATGACGAAGTCAAAGCAGCATCAACGCCGAATTGTATCCTACAAAATGCTTGCCAGAAGTTTTACTGCAATGTACAACAAGCGACCGAACACCAAGCACCACGGGGTACTGTTTCACCATGACAACGCACCCATAACACACAACGCTCAAAACGGGGTAACTTCCTGGACACTATACCCGCCAACATCTTGCGTCATCCTTCTGACAGGCCTGGTCTGGCCTGGTCCTTGTGACTTCTTTTTATTCCCTAAAATACAGAAATCAATTGAAAGGGATATAGTTTTCATGCCCGGAAGATGCGCTAACGCTATCGAGAAGGCCGTAGAAGATTGTCTGTGGCGAACTTGAAGAAGTGCTTAGAAAATTGATTTAGACGCATGAAGCTTTGTATAGAGTCTGGTATAGAGTTCTTTGTAAGGATTTATCTCAGAGTAACTTCTCACGTGCGTACATAAGTACACATATTTTTTTTTTATAATATTAATAATGTAAACTAGATTGAATCACTTTTGTTTTTCTCCTATATTACCATAGTCAAATAGAATACCAACCCAGTACAACTTAAAAACTAATTAATTAAGCCCTGGTGTTTAAGTAAATCTTACTATTATATTAAGACTGCTTGAGCAAATTCAATGTATAACTTAAACATGAAGCGTGTGTCTCGTGTGCAATACAAACATTACAACTAACTTCGCAAGCTTCAAGCTTCTGGTAACTTGCGCCGTCGATTTCAAAACTGTCACATGATACCTGCACTATGCCAATCCCACTTCCACAAAACCACAAGGAAACTTCGCAAACAGAAACATTTGCAACAATTCTGAGGTCGTTTTAGAAAAGCACTCAAATGATTTTAGTGATACCCAAGTTATACGTTATGAATTGTCAGTTAATATGAAAATAAGTAAAACATCTCGGTATATATAACAATGCCTAGCCTTATTTTTCTTCTTTTTATAAATGGCTTGCTTTGCGAGATCACAATTCCGACAATGTCAAGTTGTTCTTAAAATTCTCAATTTTATAATATACAAATTAAAATTATTGTAATATACAAAAAAAAATCAAAAATCGAATGTCTAGCGTTTTCTGTCCTTCGGTGCGTACGGAATCCATTGGTAATCTGAAACTAAAATAAAAGAAAGAACTACCAAAGTCCCAACCGATCTTGATGCAAATGTAAAACAACATATAAAAAACTATAATCAACGCAACAACGCAACTGCTGAAACGCAATTATAATATTTAACATACAAACGCAGCCAGGTTCTTCCTGCTTCTATGAGTATTTATATTTTTTCGTATTACATATTCAAGATGTAATTTGGATTATAAACCATCGCCTACTTTAAAAAGAAAATTGATTGTTAAATGAATATTAAAAAAGCTATAGTATATTTTCATTTAGTTGTATCCTCATAATAAATGAACATATGCAGTTAATTCCATATTTGAACTTTTATTTATAAGACGACATAAATTTAAACATGATCCTATTTCGTTTGTGGAAGTCGTTAATGATCCGAAGCATCGTGTTTATGATGTTTGCTTTGATGAAAAACAGCATCAAATGTCGTTTATGGGTTATAACATCTATAATAACTTAGATATAGTAGACGTACTTTCGAATTTCTAACCATAAATAAGAAAACGAACCTTTGTCATCAAATTACATTATTTAGTAGTCAATATCCTTCAATACATATTAGAATATAAGGTAAAGTGAGAATTTATTTAGCATTTCAACATAATATGAAATAAAAGTGGCAGATTTGGTCCATTTTTCGCTTTAGGAATTTGGAAAAATTACCGACCAGGAGATCGGTAACCTTTCCAGGAGGATCAAAATCAGAAGGTCCTTAACGCAAGTTAGGCAGGGTGGCGAGTAAAGCGGCGCGCCGTGTCAAAAATTTTATAATAATAAAAATCCCGTTGTTTCTGAAACACTGATCATCGTAGAAGTTAACTAATCAGCTGTGAAATGGCTTTTCAAATGTCATTTGACTTGCCTATTGACATAATTAGGAAGATAATTCTGATCAACTCAGAGAGCCATTTAACCATCCGTTTGGCAACTTAAATAACATTAGAAATGCCATTTGACAGCTGATTAGTTAACTTCTACGATGATCAGTGTTTCAGAATCCGGGCGTAAAGTTAACAAAATTTAAGGGATCTCGTGTCATGTATGTAAACCGTGCAATATCTCTTCGATTTATTATTTTTCTATTACTTTAAGTCTAATATGGGGACGGTGGATGTACTTCAAATTTTATTACATACGCTGAAATTACTAACATTTGCCGTCCTCTTTGTTCTCATTGCTTTAATTAAGCTTTGTTCTGTTTGCTCTGTTTGGAAATAAGGACACCTTCAAGCGAGTGATTATGTAAGCATATAACATATCTATAGTATAAAACATCATTGACTTCTTTAATGTAAAAACCGAAATTAGATGGGTATCGCAAGACGTGTGTAAAATAAAAACTATTATATATTTATATTTTCTGTGTAATTTATTCAAGCTCTCATAGATTGTTCTACAAAAAAACTGATAACTTATGTTTGCATCAACATAGTTATGTTATTAATTTGTGGCGACTCATTTGCTACTGTGTAGCACCGCTCTTATCCTTTACACCCTTACTCTCATCGGTCTAGCATTACCCTAATATTGACAAATTTCTATAGCAACGAGTGACAATAAAAGATGATGTTTTTCTCAACACGGCTTGTTCTTTGTCTTCTTTATTCCTTAATTATTCCCTCCTGCCGGCTCCCAAACTGGTGACCCCGACGTGATGTGATAAATATGCGCAACATCGGAGCCCACGTCGCTACGCTCTGCAGTTTCGCTCGGAAACAACAATTTCCGCGATAATCGAGGTTTGTTCCATTCTGCGACGCCGCCTAGGTACGCTTCCTTCTTTTTGTTTTTCCCTCCGTGCAGAGAAGTCTGCTAGGGAGACTAGAAAAGCCACCTGCGAGTGAGACTATGGTATAGCCTGCGAGGGAGATTGTACAGAACAGCCATGAAGCTATAATCGCAACAACTGTAAACGCATCTACGATAATCTACATCGCTATTGGACTCGTATTTTGTCCATTCTATGTAGCGCTGAGCCGGCATTTTTCGCATCGAGGCCGGCCATTTTTCTTTCTCTACCGGAGCTACGTCATCTTTGACGAGGAGGAAGTTGAAAAGCGCGCCACGCGCGGCAATCACCCGCAACATTGTGTCAGGTGACTAACAGCTCTCCACTGATACTTCGCGACGGATGCTGCGTTTACACTCGTTCAAGTGAAAGTTTAGTGCTATTTTACACTTAAGATAGTATCATTTTATGTTGTATTTAGACTTACTTTACTTTTCTACCAATTTTATTATTACGTTTGCTGCGCAATACTGAAATTGTTTCGTTTGTGTATTTACCGATTTGTTCCACTGCGTGTATGTGTAAAGCGTTTTTGCGATTTGACCGTTTCTGATTTTACCTTTAAACCATGGCGAGTCAAGGAGAATCTAACGTTTCAGAGGGCCACGTTGGCAACGAGGGTGATGCTACTGCACTAGTCGGTGGCAGTCCCATTTACGTAAACAGGGTCGCAATTAGGACCCCGCCTTTTAGCAAGGATCGGCCCGCATTGTGGTTTGCTAGCCTAGAGGCGCAGTTCCACATTAACCAAATTACCGTCGAAATGACGAAGTTTCATTTCGCCGTGGCGCATTTAGATACCGAGTGTACGAAGGAGGTCGAAGATATTATCACACATCCTCCCGAGTTGCAACCATACACAACTTTAAAAAGCGCAATCATATCTAGATTCTCCGATTCCTTCGAGGAGAAGGTGCGGCGCTTACTAGAAAAGGAACAGTTAGGTGACCGCAAGCCATCTTCGTTCATGCGACACTTGAAGAGTCTGGCTGGGCAATCGTTCCCCGCTGACTTGCTGCGATCAATTTGGGCCAATCGGCTTCCCCGGCAGGTTCTAATTGTGTTGGCCGCACAGAAGATCCAGGACTTGACGGAGTTGGCGGAGATGGCCGACCAGTTGGTGGAGTTGACCGAGAGGCCTACCACCGTGAGCCAGGTTTCGGCGCATCATACCTTTGAGCCCACTCTCGCGTCAATGCAGCGGCAGATCGAGGAATTGACGCGAACAGTCGCAGCGCTCAGAACAAACACCCATGAACGATCTGGGAGCTCACGCGTTAATCAAAAGCGGAGCCGCTCTCGATCGCGCTCACGCCCACGTAATCAGAAGCTTTGCTGGTACCACGATCGTTTCGGCAACAAAGCAAATGCATACCAGGATGCAGCTGGACCATTGAAGGAGCTACCAAACCTTTAAACTAAGGGAGCGGTCGGACGTGGCAAGTACCGACCGCGCACAGTCCAGCAAACGCCTTTTTATTACCGATCAAAATACCAAAATAAATTTTTTGATAGATACCGGTTCGGACATTTGTTGTTTTCCACGAAAACTTATAAAAGGACGTTTCTCAAATACAGGACTTACTCTCAATGCGGCAAATGGCAGCTCCATTAAAACTTACGGCACAGTAATCTGAACCTCAATTTAGGACTGCGCCGTGAATTTCGCTGGGAGTTTATTTGTGCTGACGTGGATGTCCCAATTATCGGTTCGGATTTCCTAGCTTTCTTCCACCTCCTACCCGACTGCCGTAGCGGCACACTGCGCGATGAGCTTACAAACTTATCCGCATATTGTTGTAACCGCAATATAATGCAGCCAAGTATTAGGACCGTAAAAAAACCGTCTCGCGATTCCCTGTTCAGTCAACTCTTTTTAGACTTTCCGGAAGTGACGCGCCCACCTACAGCTGACCGTCAAATAAAACACAGCACTGTTCACTATATAACGACAACTAGTGGGCCGCCTGTCACGTCGCGTCCTCGTTGACTAGCACCCAACAAGCTAAAAATTGCTGAGAAGGAATTTAATGACATGGTGTCGGCGGGTACTGCTCGCCCATCTAAAAGCCCCTGGTCGTCACCACTGCATTTAGCACCCAAAAAGGATGGCATGTGGCGTCCTTGCAGTGACTACAGGCTCTTAAACGCTCGGACAGTTCCCGATCGGTACCCTGTGCGTCATATAGGAGACTTCAGTCATAATCTGGCTGGTTCTACTATATTTAGCACATTAGATCTAGTAAAGGCCTACCAGCAGATTCCGGTAGCTGGTCCAGATGTTTGCAAAACGGCCATAATCACGCCATTTGGTCTTTTCGAGTTTCCCTATATGTCATTTGGGTTACGCAACGCTGGCCAAACCTTCCAGCGTTTCATCGATGAGATCTTGCGCGGACTAGACTTCGCTTTTCCCTACATTGACGCTATTTTGGTATTCTCACGGGATGCTGAAGAGCACGCCAAACACCTGCGCATAATCCTGCAAAGACTGGTGGACTATGGCGTCGTTGTCAATGTGGATAAGTGCGTATTGGGGACATGTGAGGTAATCTTCCTAGGTTATAAGATAACCAAGGATGGTATCTGCCCACCTGAAGAGAAGATCGTTGCTCTCCGCGAGTTATCGCTTCCCAAAACAGCTCAAGGTTTGAGATGCTTCCTGGGGATGGTAAATTATTACCGCCAATTTCTTCCCAAAGCCGCCAAGCTCCAAGCTCCACTTGTGGATTTTTTAACAGTCAGCAACCTAAAAGGTTCAAAAGCTATGCCCTGGACAGCAGACTTGGAGCGTGCTTTCTACGAGTGTCGCGACAGTCTCTCAGAGGCCACCATGCTTGTACATCCACAACGAAATGCTCGTTTAGGGTTGTACACGGACGCCTCCAGCAGTCATGTCGGCGCTGCCTTACAGCAAAGGTCTGATCAAGGCTGGCAGCCGTTGGCATTCTTTAGCAAAAAGCTAACACAGAGCCAAAGTACATGGCCCGCGTATTACCGCGAACTTCTCGCAGTGTACGCGGCCGTACAGCATTTCCGGCATATACTAGAGGCACAACACGCGACAATCTACACGGACCACAAGCCGCTTCTTTATGCTTTCGTCCAACGCCGTGAAAAATTGCCCCCTGCTCAACTTAACCAACTCACGTTTATTTCCCAGTTTACAACTGAAACATGTGAAGGGGGAAGACAACATCGTTGCTGACACAATGTCCCGCATTGAGGCTATCACGCTCGATGACGATTTCGCAGCCCTGGCAAAAGCTTAGCAGACGGACGACGAACTTAAAACCGTAAAGGTCCATTCTTCTTTACAGTTAGAGCCAACCCTCATACCTGGATCCAACATTTCCGTTTTGTGTGATGTGTCAACAGGCAAACCTAGACCCTTTTTGCCAAAACAATATCGGCGAGCCGTCTTCGATCGCCTACATGGTCTCAGCCACCCCGGCGCACGCGCTTCCGCGCGCCTCATTAGCGACCGCTATGTTTGGCCAGGCATTGCTAAAGACTGCCGCTCCTGGGCACGCGAGTGTCTCGCCTGCCAGAGCAGCAAGGTAACGCGCCATGTCGTTTCACCGCTTGGCAACATTAGCACACCTTCAGGCAGATTCCGTCATGTTCACCTGGACATTATTGGACCGATGCCTTCTTCAAACGGATTCACTTATTGCCTAACAGCAGTAGACCGTTTCTCACGCTGGCCCGAAGTTTGGCCCATGTCGTCGATAACCGCAGTAGAAGTCGCTGATCAATTCACCCATGGCTGGATCGCTCGCTTTGGTGTACCGATCACTGTCACAACGGACCAGGGACGTCAATTTGAGTCCCAACTTTTCAACAGACTGATGGATTTAGGAGCCACAAAAAACGCGTTCGTACTACGAGCTATCATCCCCAAGCTAATGGGATGATAGAGCGTTTCCACCGCCATTTAAAGGCCGCTTTAATGTGTCACAAGAGTTCTTGGTACCATGCCCTACCTTTCGTTCTTCTCGGAATCAGGGCGGCACTAAAAAATGACATCAAAACGTCAGCTGCAGAAGTTTTGTATGGGGAACCGCTACGCCTACCAGGCGAGTTCCTGGTGGCTAGCAATTCCCCTCAGACCGTGGACGATGATTTTGTTGCACAGTTGCGAAAACGGATGGCAGAACTTCGCCCCGTTCCAGCATCACGTCACACGAATTCTAAAACTTTCGTTTTCAAGGACTTACCTGATGCTACTCACGTGTTCCTCCGCGAAGATTCCGTTCGACGCCCTCTACAGCCACCTTATACAGGCCCCTACAGAGTGTTGAAGAGATCTGAAAAGACACTTACCTTAGACATTTCTGGTCCTCCCACATTAGGCAAGAGGCGTCCAAGAGCAGCGGATGCCTTTAACAGATTCGGTGTCAGCCGGCGAAAGTAAGCGGCGAACGTCCACCATCCGTCTAGGACGAGTCCGAGATACTTCATCTCGGACTCGACCCGGACCTCCACTTCTCCGATCCGGAGTGGTGTGCCTGCAGCCAGCCTCCTTCTAGGTCCATGGAAAAATAGGGCCTTGGTTTTCTCAAGGGCCACCCGTAGGCCTTGAGCTCTGTTGCGGGACACCACTAGTCCCACACCGACCACCGCCAGCTGGGTCGCCTCCTGATGCGTCGCGCCGCGGGCAAGAACGAGTGTGTCGTCAGCATAGCAGACAACACGAAGCCCGCGCAGCAGGGCACCACGGAGTACCCTGTCGTAGCCGATGTTCCACAGGAGTGGGCCAAGGACCGATCCCTGTGGAACACCGCACCACGTTTCCCTCTGTACAAGGACGTCATCGCGCCCTACACACACAACGCTCCTTCCCCGTAGGTACGCCACAATAAATGCACGCAGGTACCGGGGGAGTCGGTGGTATCGGAGGCCCTCCTCGATGGTAGCGAACGGCAGGGTATTGAATGCGTTTGCGATGTCAAGAGACACCGCCATCACCACGTAGCCGTTTGCCGACTGCTCCTCCGCATACCCCTTAACACAATATGGCGTCTATTGTGGAGCGCGATGGTCGGAACCCGTACTGGGCGTCGGACAGGTCAAGACCCTCGCGCATCATATGACGTATGATGCGCGAGGCGACCACCCTCTCCAACAGCTTACCAGCCTCGTCCGACAGGATGATTGGCCGGTAAGCCGAGGGCGATTCTTCAGGGCGTCCCTCCTTACGAAGGAGAACAACCCTGCCCGCCTTCCAACACTGCGGGAACTCTCCACGCCGAAGACAAGCGGTGAAAAGCTCCCTCAAGCGTTCCTCTAGGTGCACCAAGGCCAAGACCAGAGCCCTGCCGGGCACACCATCGTGCCAGGGGCCGTTTTGCGCCCACGAAGCCGCAGAAGTGCGGCTCCCATCTCACCCTCGGATACCAGAGGCACCTCCTCGGTGGTTTCCGGCTCAGGCACCGGTGGGATAACGCCAGTTGGGGCCGGGAACAACGCCTCCAGCACCGTGTCCAGCCGTTCCGGTGAAATAGATTCAGCAGGCGGCGGACCCCGACCAAGCTTGCCCCTGGTTGCTCGGTATGGACGACCCCAGGGATCGCGGTCCAAGCCCGCGAGGAGCTCACCGCAGGCAGTGTCTTTGGCCCTCAGGATGGCCAGCTGCAAGGATTTTTTGGCTTCGTTATACGCCCTCTGCAGATGGTCATTCAGTTCCTCATTCCGCGGCCGCCGCCGCCGCTGTCGTTGGAACTTCCGGCGGGCGGCGACACAGCGTCGCCGAAGATCCGCAATGTCAGGTGACCACCAGTACACCTGCCTCTTTTGAGGTCTTTGCCGCACGCGGACCATGCAGGCATCGCAGACCCTGGTGATCGCGCTGCGGAAACACATCGCCTGCTCGTCCGTCGTCCCCGGAGGCGGGGAGCTCCAGGACTCGACGATGGCGGCCTCCTTCAGCAGGTCAACGTCCAACCCCGCGAGGGCCCATCGCGGAAACGTTGAGGCCATCGCTGGGAAGGCGGGGACCAACTGCATCCCTCTGGAGGAGGAGACGCTGAAGCGGATATATAAGTGATCCGACAGCGTCTCCACCTCCCCCATAACTCGCCAATCTCGTACTGCCTGAACAACCGCCGGGCTCGCAAAGGAAAGGTCTACAATGGACCCCCCCTTGGACCCGAACACAGGTTTGTGCTGTGCCGCAGTTGAGAAGTGCCAACCCAGATTCCGTGGCCAGTCTTCAACCGCAATCCCCCGCACGTCTGTGGCAGGCGATCCCCAAGCCGTATTCTTGGCATTAAAGTCGCCCGCCACAATTACCGGTCGAGGTGCAACTCGCCTAATGGCCGCCTGCATATCACCGAGGAGCGTCTCGAGCTCAGCGAGGGTTTTGTTTGGGGAAAAATACACCGAGAATATTGTGTATTTCCCCCAGTCGGCCGCCACAAAACCATTTCCCCTCTCTTTGACGGAAAGGGGCGTGGTACCATCTGGAACATAGATGGCCGCCGTGCCCGTAGCATCCCCTATCCAGTTGGCGGGTATGCAATAAGGCTCCGCTACCACCGCCAGTCCAATTTGCCATTGCGCCAGTGCCTGGAATAATAAGCCCTGGGCACCGGCGCAATGGTTTAGGTTTATCTGGAGGAAATGTCTATCCCTATCCATTATTAGAGTCGACACACATTTCCTCTTGTCGGGACGAATCCCGATCCACCTGCTGGGAGGCCGGGGTCCTGCCGGTTTTTTTCCCTTTTTTCGGTGGGGAGCAACCCTTAGCCCCCACCGAGTGCTCAGCTGGCCTACCTGCAACTGCGCATACTGCGCAGTGGGGTTTGGCTAAGCATGCCGTTGCTTTGTGTCCAGGAGCACTGCAGCGATAACAAATATCGCTGCGGTCCACCTCCGAAGTGCACTGGAGTCGCGTGTGCCCGATTTCTAGGCATCGGAAGCACTTCATACGGCGCGGCTCCAGGGACTCGACGTGCACATAGCTCCAGCCAATCCTCATACTCCGAGCTGACACCAGGACCTTAGTAGCTGCCACTGGACATTGCACCCAGATGCAGCCAGTGCCCCGGCGGCCCTCCCGAATTTCGTCCGCCTTGACGTGGTCAAGGGGACAGGCGGCTGCAGCGACAATCGCAGCGAGCACCTGATCCCTGGTGACGGAATCATCCAGGCCAGTAAGACGCAAATCCGCGCACTTCACCGGCCTGGCGATCCGTGCCTCTCCGGCGAGGACCTCACGGAGCTTCGCGGCGAAACTGTCCGCTGCTTCGCTCGTGACCCCTGCTGGAAGCTCGAGAACTCGAGCTCCCGTGGCCGCCTGCCTTATTTTCAGGCCTGCCGGGATGTTCAAGGCCGTCAGATCTAACCTCTGACGGGCTTTGGTGAGAACATCACTATACGTAACCCCCTTTTCGACGGCATCGTGCTGTAGTGTGATTACTACAGCTGCCGTCGTAGGGCGCCCGCACAGCCTGTAACAACCCGGTCAGGTCGCAAAGTTAAATTTAAAGATATTTTAGATTTATAAGTACTAGTTTTTAATACGTTATTTTTGTTAAAGCAGAGTTTTTTCAATTTTAAGTTTCCAATGTTTATTTTTCATTGTATAAATTAAAATTCCATTAGTTAAAAATTATCCTAAATAATGTTGCTTGTACTTTTATAATAACAGTGTATAATTATTTGATTGTTACATTTTATGTTACGCCCGGACACTGAGCCGTGATAGCTCAGTGTCCGGGCGCTCGCCTTAATTCAATGTATACTCGAGCAACCTGAGTTCGATCCCCGGTGCCGGCACCAATGAAGTTTTTAACTTTAAGAGCTGAATTATCACGTGCTCCGCGGTGAAGGAAAACATCGTGAGGAAACCTGCATATTTTTCGGAATAATAACAAAAAAAAATGTATTTCGAAAATATGTGAAGTCCGCCAATCCGCAGTGGGGCCGCGTGGTGGACTATGCCCTGATACCCTCTGTATAGAGGAGGCCTTTGCCCAGCAGTGGGGCATGTATAGGCTGTTACTTTACTTTACTTTTTACATTTTATACTTATTTTGCCTTCAATGTGTACTTATTTTTCTCCGTAGGTGGGTGATGTGGCGACTCATTTGCTACTGTGTAGCACCGCTCTTATCCTTTAGTAAGGGTGTACTCTCATCGGTCTAGCATTACCCTAATATTGACAAATTTCTATAGCAACGAGTGACAATAAAAGATGATGTTTTTCTCAACACGGCTTGTTCTTTGTACTGCATCTTAATTATTCCCTCCTGCCGGCTCCCAAAATTTTTTTTTTTAACAAAATTTGACATCCGCCATTGCTCGAAACGCTTGGGTAGAAGGTCTAACTGGCGCTGCATCTTTCTCGCTGCGTGCGCCGTGTTGTGTGAGGAGGTAAAGAACGCGCTGTCGTCCGCATATAGCGCCAACAGCACGCTCTCATCCCAACCCGGTCGGGCTCCTCTATGGTGGGGATATCGTTGGTGTATAGAGCGTACAGGATTGGTGAAAGGCAGCTTCCCTGTGGAACACCGGCATCCATCCTACGGGGGGAAGAAAGCACGCTGCCGACCGCAACAGCAAAGCTCCGCCCCTGAAGTAAATTATCTATAAGCCGCACTAAAGCGTGCGGTGTGGAGGTGGAATTTAGAAATTTGAAAATTAAACCCGCGTGCCACGCTCGGTCGAAGGCCTTCTCCATGTCGAGAAGGACCCCCAGACCGACACGGCCCCGATTGTATTGGGCCGTGAGATAGTGTAGCACACGGGTGAGCTGCGAGGTGGTAGAGTGGTCCCTGCGAAAGCCGAACTGCTCCCTGCGTAGCGACACGCACGGAGCAATCCTGCGCAGCAGGAGCCGTTCGAACAGTTTACAAACACAGTCACATTCGTTCAACAACGAATCCCTGTTTCGCAACCTGCACATGGCGTCATTATGTATCGAGCCGTTTTGAATAATGCTTTTCATGAATTGATTGAATCAGGCAGAAAGCTATTGACTATTGCCGACAAAAAAAAACAAATTGTTTTTTAATTTAAAACTAAAACGTTATTTGTGAAATTTGTGATTGTCAATGTCATAACTCATAATTTCATTTGACAATGTCAACAGCAAACACATGCAACATGAACAATTATAATTTATGATAACGTTATTTATAAATGTTTATCTATTTCTAATTAATGAGAAAAATAAACAATTTTTAACTATATTATAAACAGAGATTAAAATATTACATATCGATGGACTCAACTGAAAAAAGACCCCAATTTGGCAACAGAATACTGGAAAATGTGGACGAGGTGTTCAAGCATAACGCTTGGTACTTTTTTTAATTTGCCTATAAGATTTTGTAAGAACTTAAATAATCGTGAAAAGATATTGCATAACTTAGAGAAAACTCGATATAGAAAAAAACCTCCCTGTGGTGACCGTAAATTAATTGATCCTAAATATCTGTATCTCTTCAATGCTTGGTACATTTCTTTTTATAAAACTTAGCAAGAGTCTATTTTTCTTAAAAATTACTATTAAACTTAAGGTAATCCATGGTTATTTTTTTTATTTCAGGGATAATGTTCAATGGGATCCAGAGCAAGAAAAAGTTGCACAAGAAAAAGTTAAACTAAATTCGGAAGTAATGTTTACAAAGGAAAATTTAAAAGATTTAGAAGAAAATGCTGATAAACATTGGGACGCATTTTATGATATTCATCAAAACAGGTAATTAATATTTATCGGCGTAATATATTTATGGCACATCAAAATGTAATGTAATCTTTACAGAGGATATTAGGGCATAGTCCATCACGCAACCCCGCTGCAGATTGGTGGACTTCACATATCTTCAAATTATTATTTTTTTATTATTACTAATATATCCTCAGGTTTCCTCACAATGTTTTCCTACACCATTGAGCATGTGGTAAATGAAAATTGCGCATATATTTTATATCATTGTTTATATTCTTTTTAATTTAATCATGGAGGGAGAAAAAGATTAAGGTAAAAATTTAAAGACTAAACTCCTAATTGAAACTACTAAATTAAACCTTTGATACTAAAGCAAATATAAACATATTTAAGAGTTCTTTAATGTAGATGGTATGTTAATTTAGCTTCAAATAAATGAGTAATGTCTCATTAACTAAACTTAATTTACCAATAAAATGCTATGTGATTTATGTCATTGTGAGTGTCTGTTACTTCATCATCAGACAATACACAAAGCAATACGGCACACATTTTCCCATCAAAGTAAAAATTTCCTTTTGTAACAATTTTCTGCACAGAATTAATCAAGTTTAATTTTTCTTTCTTCAGGTTTTTTAAAGATAGACACTGGCTGTTCACTGAATTTCCAGAATTAGCCCCAGATAATACATCAGCCCCAGAAAGAGTCTATCCTAATAATGATACAAAAACTTGTTCCGTAACAAAAACTACTTGCAGTGAAAATTCTAAACGTTACATATTTGAAATAGGCTGTGGTGTTGGCAATACTATTTTTCCCATTTTGCAATACAGCCAGGATCCAAAATTGTTTATTTATGGCTGTGATTTCTCTTCAACAGCTGTTGATATAATGCAACAAAATGAACTTTATGATAAACAGAGATGCAATGTGTTTGTATTAGATGCAACAGTTGAAGACTGGCAAGTCCCATTCAAAGAAAATACAATTGACATAATAGTCTTAATTTTCGTTTTATCAGCAATTGATCCAACAAAGTAAGTAATGTGTTTTCTACAGCAAATCTTATTTGACTCATTTAATTTGCAAGTAATTTTAAAATTTGTTTTATAAACAGCATTGAACTATGATTGTTTTAAAAGCTATATAAAGTTAAAGTTATTCAGGGATCTCACAATTGCTTTATATAATCATTTTTAGTCATAAAGTGTTGTTATAAGTGCTATCAACTTTTTTATTAATATAACTGTTTTCAACTTTGATAATTTTCTTGAACACTTAAATAAAGAAGGGGTTGGGTTTTGAATCGAATTGCCCGAATATAAGTACACTGTAAGTTTGGGGGGGTTAAGGAGGTTTGTACAAGCACTCTAATGCATTATTTTCTGTCGGAGACACATAAAATTTCATTATCTATTTTTTAAAATTTAAAACTCTTACGAAACGTGAAATGGAATGTAATTTTGATAAATTTCAATGTGTGTCAATTTTTCTTATTAAATTAAATGAGTTGCTGATCCGACACAGAGGAATTCGACTCAGACAGATTAGGTTAGTCGTGGTTATTTTTTTTTATAACCACCCATTAACGCTTCGATTGTTAAGTCTGGTTTAGAACAACAGGCTGAAGGGGAACCCTCCCCCATTTCATTCTTATTAGATTATATTAAATAAATAAAATTAAAAATTTTATAATAAAAAAACTAGGGGCAAGTGGGGGGTGACTCACCACATCAACCACGCTCCCCCCACCCACCTCCGGACCCCTACGAAGGCGACTCGTTTCAAAATTTTACCCTAAAGAAGATCCATCCAGTATATTATGTAGAAAAATGTTTGTTCTGCTCACTAAAAAAACTCCCTTTTTCCTTTCAGAATGCCAATTGTTATAAAAAATATTTATAAATATTTGAAACCAGGAGGACTGGTGGTGTTTAGAGATTACGGCAAATATGACTTGGCTCAACTTAGATTCAAGAAGGGTCGCTGCATTTCTGAAAATTTCTATGCCCGTGGAGATAAAACAAAAGTATATTTTTTTACTCAAGATGAGGTCACACAGTTATTTATGAATGCTGGATTCATAGAGGAACAAAATTTAATTGACAGAAGGCTACAAGTTAATAGAGGCAAGATGTTAACAATGTACAGGGTCTGGGTACAAGGAAAGTACAGAAAGCCTTTATAATTCAGATATATTGAGGTAAATATTTACTTAAAACATATAGATTATATTAAAATTAGCTGCATAATTTTTATCAAAATATATGCATAATTTATGCAAAAAATAATTACAGCTTTTGAAATTTAAAATGATATGGTTTTTCAAATTTATTTATAACTTTTGTGACAACTTTTAGAGGAGGACCATTCCAGTCCACTTTCAAATCAAATAGTAGTCTTTTAACAAATGTTTCAATCTCCATTTCAGCAATTCTTCGTCCAATGCAACTCCTAACTCCAAACCCAAAAGGCAGTGTTGTCATTGGATGGGCTTTACCATAGTGTATAGGATCTGACTTTTCAACCAACCATCTCTCTGGTAAAAATTTCATTGACCTGGGATAGTTGCAATCCAATTTGGATAAAAACTCATTTGGTGCTATGACATCCACCTAAAATATATTCATTCTTTTAATAATAATATGTTTGTATTCATTTCAAACTATAATTAAAGTTAATTATGAATAGTACCCCTTTTGGAATACAATATCCTCCCACTACATGTTCTTTCGTAGTCCTTCGTAAATTTGCTGGCAAAACAGGATATAATCTTAATGATTCTTTTAGACATGCTTTAAGATACTTGCTTGGTTGTTTAGAGCTCAATTCTTTACGCAATTTTTTCTGGACTTCTGGATTTATCGCTAAATTGTAAAGCAAACCAATAGTTGTATAAGCTACCTAAAAATGAAAAATAAATATTTTGTTAAGTATTAAGATAAAAAAAAAATGACTTCCTTTAATATAAGTATATACAGGGTGATTTCTTAGATGTGTGTTCATTTATTGTCGCGCGTGATGCTACTTGCCAGTAATCATAAAAAAATATAAAAAGTTAAAAGAATCCAAAATTAAAAAAAAAATATTTTAAACAAACTAATTAAATAAAAAAGAAACAAAATTTGTAACATCCTATACAACTACAACTGACTGATTAATACATTCAAAGATTTTTTCATTCGTTGCTACAACGTCGGATTATAAGTCTCTCCTTCTAACAGTATGTTTTATCCCTTTTAAATTCATTCAACCCATTCATACGAGGGGTGATCCAAAAGTAATGATAATCGGTTACTTCAGGTCCGCATAAAAATCCAAAAAAAATATTTTTTGCTTGCTTATACAGCGTGTCGTTACCATCGCGACAATAAATGAACACACATATAGGGGATAACTTTTTAAAGTTGTATTAAACATTTACATTCTTTAAACATCAATATTTACAGAGTTATTAAATTTTCCAAAACAAAGAATTTTAGAAAACCCTTACCTATGAAAGTGTAACGTAAAGTTCATTTGTAAAGGTCACAAGGCATATGAATGGGTTGAATGAATTTAAAAGAGACAAAACATACTGTTAGAAGGAGAGGCTTATAATGCGACGCTGTGGCGCGAGTTGTATAGGATGTTACAAATTTTGTTCCTTTTTGACTTAATTAGTTTGTTTGAAAAACATTTTTTTTTAATTATGGATTTTGTTTAACGTGAATTTTTTTATGATTATTGGCAAGTAGCGTTAGACGTGTGTTCATTTATTGTCGCCATGGTAACGACACGCTGTATACTCACTACGTCAGCCTAAAAAAAATCATATAAATAGATCACGATTTCCGGGAGATACATTCATTTGAATACGAACTGTCAAAGAGATAACATCAACATGGAGAAAAACGAAATTAGAGCTGTCATCAAGTACCTCTGTTTGAAAAAAATGTCTTCAAAAGACATACACAGTGACTTAGTGGTAACATTGGGAGACTCTGCTCCTCCATATTGTACAGTTGCATGCTGGGCCAAGGAGTTTAAACTGGGCAGAACATCCACTGAAGATGAACATCCACTGAAGATGAACATCGCGAAGGACGCCCATCCACGTCCCTCACTGAAGACAACGTGAAAAAAGTCGAAGATGTTGTGTTGGCAGAACGAAGATTGACCATCAGGCATGTAGCTGAGGTCACAGGGATCTCATATGGCAGCGTTCAAAGAATCCTTGCGAACGAGTTGCATATGAAAAAGGTCTCGGCGCGTTGGGTACCCCGAATGTTAACCGACGAGCAAAAGAAAAATCGAGTTGACATTTCGAGGGTCAATCTCGAAAAGTTCCAAGCAGATCAAGAAAATTTTTTGTTCCGTTTTGTGACTATGGACGAGACCTGGATCCACCATTTTGATCCTGAAACGAAACGACAATCGATGACTTGGAAGCGAGCCTCCTCACCGACGCCAAAGAAATTCAAAGTTTCAAGTTCGGCGGGAAAGGTTTTGGCATCTGTTTTTTGGGACGCTCAAAGCATAATTATGGTGGAATATTTCGAAAAGGGAGCCACTATTACGGGCTCTTACTACGCAGACCAAATAAGAAGATTACGGGAGGCCATTAAGGAAAAAAGACGCGGCAAACTGCGAGCTGGAGTGCTGTTTCACCAAGACAACGCACCGGCTCACAAAGCCGCAGTTGCGATGGCTGCCATTCAAGAAACGGGATTTGAACTACTCGAACATCCTCCCTATTCGCCAGATCTAGCTCCTAGTGACTTCTACCTCTTTCCTCGGCTCAAGGAACGCCTCCGAGGCAAGAAATTCGAAGACGATAGCGAAGTAATGGCCGCTGTTGAAGCGTTTTGGGAGGGTCAAGACAAAGAATTTTTTTCAAAGGGAATCCTTGGTTTAGAAAAAAGATGGACTAAATGTATTGATTTGTTAGGAGACTATGTAGAAAAATAAATTATTATTTTATCTTTAATTACCGTGTTTTATTTTCATTATCATTACTTTTGGATCACCCCTCGTACGCTTGTGACTTTTACAAATGAACTTTACGTTACAGTTTTATACGTGAGGGTATTCTTAAATTGTTTGTTTTGGAAAATTTAATAACTCGGTAAATATTGATGTTTAAATAATGTAAATGTTTAATACTAATATACTTTTACTTTGTTAAAAAAATACCTAACTTAAATTAAATGAAGATATTACAATTTTTTTTTATCTGGGCCAAGTGTCTAAGAAAGCTTAGAACAGTTAATCGAAATCTATTCAGTAGTTCATGGTTATTCGACAGACCTCTATCATTTTATTTATAAACATAGACATATTAGATAAAAAGGATTAATTTCACATTTGTCTTTAGAACTAACCGTATCAATACCCGCTAAAAGCATTTCGTTGGCCATCATAATGGCTACTTTATCATCGATTGCCAAAAGTTTTTCTATTATACTTTTTTCTTCTTCTGCAATATTGCGTTTCCGCTCATGGATTTCTTCCTTGGCCATCTTTATATAATCTTCGCTTATTCTTAAATAAATTATTCATTTAATGTTTGTATTATTGGAAATTAACTACATGTTTTTACAATTCAGTTACAAAATGTTATTGTATATTATGAATTTTTTCTTGTTTTTTCAAATAGTCTTTATTCAAATAGACGCTTGCGCGGTCATATGAAACGTCGAATTTTACATAAAAATTGATACATAAGTTCGTGAGTATGTTACCACTGGTTCGGAAAGCAGTCTCTGTTGAGAAGAGACCGGTAAGAAACTCAACAGTTGCTCTTTTGTAGAAAGACCAGTTTACTTATTTTAAAAACGCCTGCAAACCTCGAGTTACCGCTTCAAGGAACCAACAAATATGTAAAAAAATGTCTGTTAAGGTTAAGTTTGTTAAGTTTTTACGGTGGTAGGGCCACGCAGCAGCCTCGGCTGTTGCACGAATGGGCAGGCCCGTCCGGGTAAGTACCACGACCTCACAGAAGACCGGCGTAAAGTGGAAGTATGACAAATACTTTCGCGTTTCGTCTGGTGAGTGAGGTAGCCGGAGCCCAATTTTCAAAAGGTTGTCAACGCATCTGTAACCCTCGAGTGTAGCAGATGTCCATGGGCGGCGGTATTCACTTAACATCAGGTGAACCGTCTGCTCGTTTGACAACTTCTCGCATAAAAAAAAAAAAGAACGCAGAAAAGAATTTGTTCAACTAACGTGTAGTGAGAACCAAAAAGTATAATATAAATTAGCGACCCGCCCTGGTTCGCACGGATGCAATGTATAATACATTGCATCCGTGCGAACCTTCAAACCGACAAACCTTCCTCTGGAATCACTCTATCCAGTAAAAAACCGCATCAAGATCCGTTGCGTAGTTTTAAAGATCTAAGCATACATAAGGACAAATATACAGCAGGGCGACTGTTTTATACTATGTAGTGATATTGATATAATATATTCAGAAAGTGATTTTTGGAATGCAGTATAAACGCGCTGCATTCCAAAACTGTGCTCCGCATTAGTTGGTTACTTGACTTTGATATAATTTACGGTTACGAGTAACATTAAAATTGCGCGTAATTGAAACACGAAAAATCGAAATCGTTACATACTCACTCCCATTGTAAATCTAAGGTCTTAATCATTTTCTTTAAATTCGGTGTTTCGAAATATCGCCATGGACTGGGGAAGAATTCTAATTTATATGCAAGCTCCATAATGTTACTGGCACACGCAATTAAAAGCTGGGCTTTTTTGTTGTTTTTCTCATCATTGAGGCATCCAAGTCGTGTACCTAAGGCAATATACGCCACTGATTCTAATGACCATTTAGTTATTTCCGAATCAAAATTCGACTGCAGGTAGTGTTCTTGATCTTTTAATTTCAACAACCTGTAAACGTAAATAATATAATCTTAACGTACCACACTATTTATATTCTTAAAAATGCCTACTAACAAAATAAAATTGACATACCTCTCAGTCATTTCTTTAGAAATCTCTTCCAAGGTGGGTGTGTATAGTTTAACCAATTGAGTTTTCAATAAAACCGGGTTTACTTTAGTTCTAAAATCGCGCCATTTTTGACCCTGGCTATAATAAAATATATAAACTTCATTAAATAGCGTGCAATGATTATAGGGTAGATATGGCGATTTTGGTTAGGAAAACATTACAAAAGTATGACAAAGACATCCAGGTATCCAATCATAGTTGGTACACATGATAACGTTCAAAAGTTTTATTTTAACATTAATATATAGACTCGGTGACGCAGTTACTAAGGATATTGGCTTAGGCAGCGGGGCTGTAGGTTCGATTCCCGCGCGTGACAAGTATTTTTGGGACTCACAGAAAATTGTTCCAGATCTAAGTGTTCCTGCCCAGGAGGTAGATACAAAAACTGAACTGATGCACACTAGATAGCGCCAAGCGTTGCTAAAAATGAAATGGAAAAAACATAGGACGCAGGTTCGAATACCGCAGCACCAATGCATGAAGCTTTCGGTTCATCTTGAGTGCAGAGACTAGCACTAAAAATATAAAATTCATCGCCCCAAATTTCTAGATCCCTGCCTGCTTAGTCTTATTTCTTTACTAAGTAATCACAATTTTCAATTTTACTGTCATTTTTTACACATTTTTGTTGTTTTATTTGTCCTCATAATAAAATCTGGGTTCGCCCGTGTTGCTTATTACTTACGCTGAGGTTAATCCCAAAATGCTATTGTATCTATTTCTCCGTAACTCCTCTTGATAATAGATAAGTGTGTCAAATCCCGGTCTCAATGGTAACATTTCTTCAGATCTATAAACCTATCAAGTATTCAATAATACAACTTAAATAAAGTAGTAAAAAATATAGTGTATATTTTTGTCTACATAAATACCTGATCAAAGTCTTCTGGTTTATATAAGAGTACCATATTTGCTCTAGCAAATATGCCATCAAGTCTGACTATGCTTCCAAATTTTTTGTGTAAATGCTGAGCTAAATCGAAAAAATTGGCTGATGGACCTATAGAACCTACGGTGGAATTATTACGAAGTTGTTTACATATTTATTTGTAAGTTTTTAAATATTAATTAGTACAAATTTATTAAGAAAAAGAATTATTAAACCTATGATACACACCTGTTACTGGCATGAAATGATGTATCGGTCCCAAAAATGGTAAGGATGATAAACCAGGTATGGAGTCAAATGGTTTCAATCCATTTGACATGGTTGCATAGGTTTTTAAAAAAACAAATCTATAATAAATGTAGTCACATTTTAAATAAAAGAACGCAAGGTTATTAATTAAAGAAAACATTGTAGCTGTATCGATTGTGACAATAATCCTCAGACAAACAAAAAGTATCGTAATAAAATATGCCTACTTAATATTTAACAGAACAAATGAAAATAATATTTTGAAACATTGTATTATGTGTGGGTTTACGTTATCAATAAGAAAAATTGAACGATCACACAAACAACACTAATGTACTAGCTTCAAAAATAGAATAATTCATTTGACCTTCAATATGCCAAATGGTTATCCGTATTTTATATTTTCAACCTATCTGAAAGCTGTTTTTTTATAAATGTCGAATCCTGAAATTACTCTTAAGATTTTGCTGTTTCATTTAGGATAGTGTAAGTTCAAAAGGCATTTTCTAAATGAATGAACTAAAGTATTTTAAATGTAAACAATAATTAATTAACAATTATGTTGACGAAAAACAAATTAATTTGCAAATTCGCTTGTTTTTGCTTACCATATTTTTATGTAAATGCTATGGTATTATGATTTACTAGTTTAATCCTTATAAATAAATATGTCAAAGATGACCAAAAATACTAGTATCTAAATTCCTCGCCTGTTATGGTAGTTTATTGTTAGTTTTTTGACAGTTAACTTGACGTTCTGTTTGTGCGAGGTTAATGGTTGACACAAAAATAGTTTTGATAAATATTTGAAAACAAAACCTTTTCAAATACAAAACAAATCAAAATGAAACAGTAATATCAATCTGTTAAGTGATTAAGTCAGTTGAAAAATGAATTCATCCGTTATTATGTCATAAAAATGCAAATTATTTTCATAGTTGATATTTCTTTGTCATGAGCATAGTTTTCCTATTTTATCGATCGATTACGAAATAGCTTTTGCTCTAAATTTTATTGCTGAATTTGATAAATGATTAATACTTAAACAGATCTATTAAAAAAGAAGTTGCGCCAACTTTACTTTCCATTTATAGTAGCAAACGTGCCGAATTCTGAAATAGAAATGTGTATATGTGCTTACGGTATAGGTAGAAGTCGAAAGTAGTAAATGTTTACTTATATATGTAACTAAAAATACTGAATTCAACCATAAACGAACCCCAAAAAAATGAAATAAACTACTATATATGTACATTGGCCGTTTGTATCAGAATTTACGTCCATGTATTGTTGCTCATTCCTGTAAGTATATTCCGTTTAACATTTCACGTAACTTAGTTTTTTGCTTATTTTTCTTTAGTCATTCGCTATATTTAAAATACATGTTATATTTAAGTTAATATTTACTAGCACCACTTAGTACACCATTATGATGTTACATTACATCACAGTACTTCAAATATTTTCCGTCCATAATGATTTTATACAATTCACACCAAGAAGCTACACCTGCTACTTGCAGTCCCTGTGTGAGAATACAAATAGAAAAGATAACTGTTCAGGTCAATGAACTTTGCCTTAGACATTTGTTTGACAAACTTTTATGTGTTTGTATCACCTGTATTACATTAGAGATATATTGTGAACAACAAGCCTGTGTAAGTGTATACTTCTGTTTTACTGTTGATTTTAAAAAATAAATATATAAACTGTTACACTTTTGTAATTTTTACTAATAGCTTTAGTTGTAATATTTTGTTTTATACATACAAATATAATATTAATAGATAACTTCATAAAAGTAACATTATTTAAATAAATTAAAAAATGTATATACCTATATCTTAAATCATTTGTAAAGTTGAAGCTTATTGTATTAAATGTGCAAAAAACTTTAAGTGAATTTATTTTTTATTTATTAAACATATTATTTCAAACAAAGCTGTATGTATTTAAAACAGTCATAATTTGAAAACTATAAGACAATCACTTTTAAACATCATGCAATTGGCAGCAATAATAATTAATGAACAATCTGCACTGATTGATGATTCACAGCTAGCAGAGCTATATATAATATATATGTCATCTCATATTAACTATTAATTAATTATTTTAATGTAAGGAAGAAGTGGGTTTCAATGTTAAAATAGGTATATTCCATAATTTATATCAATTGCTATATGTATTAATATCACTATTGATTGTTAATATCACATTTTTAACAGACTTCAAAAAGAAGGAGGTTATCAATTCGAATGTTTATATTGTTTTTTATGTGCGTTCGGGCATAACTTCGTCATATATAGATGGATTTGCAATTCACCTTTTAAAATATCTGTGAATATTTTTTAATGAAATAAATGAATTTGAATCTTTTAAAATTATAAAAGATAGTTTTATTATTCATAATTCAACATTGAGTTTTTACTCCATATTATCCTTGTTGCACAGTATACTTTGTTTTCCTGTTTGGGTATAATACAAATGCTGTTTGTCATTTTAACCCTTGTAATAAACTAACAGCTCACGGCTGGGCGTCGGGATGGCCAGCATGAGTTCCACGCTCGTCGAGACCGTCTCCATCAACTATGAAGATTTTAATGAGAGCTTTCTCACATGCGGCACATGTCTATGTTAGTACACCCTTTTGCAATACATTGAAATATACACACATTTCTTTTTAGCACTTTAGTAGAGCATGGTGTTATAAATGTACCATTGTAAACACAGAAAATAACTCAAGAGGTTGAGTTATTTTTTGTAAACACAAACTTTCGAACTCATTACTTCGTAAAGTGAACCTGATTCAATACTGTCAATTTATGACAAATTAATGATCTACAAATTTTTTTGTATCTATAAACTAAAGCTTATTTACTGTACCACTGCATTTCCGTTCCAGGCACTTACGACGGAGGAGAACACACACCAAAACTCCTGCCATGCTCTCATACAGTCTGTTTGCACTGTCTAACACGCATAGCCGCGTCGCAGACCAGGGACGCGGGTAGCTTCCGGTGCCCCATATGCCGTGAGCTGATAACCATACCACGTGGCGGAGTTCCGGCCCTGCCGCCGTCGTTCCTCGTCAACCAGCTGCTCGATTTAATGGCGAGGCAGAGAAGGGAAGTCATACCCCAGTGCAGTTCCCATCCGGGCAGGGAGCTGTTGTTCTGTGAGACCTGCGACTGCGTCTTCTGCCGCCACTGCGCCGACGGGCCGCACAGCGATACGCCCTGCGACCACACCGTGGTGCCGTTCTCGATCGCCTTGAAGAGGATGTCGGAGATACTGCTGTATAGGGCGAACGAGTGCCTGAGCAAGCTCGGTTCGGCGAGGGAAGCGGTGGCGAGCGAGCTAAGGAGGCTGGAGGCGGCCGCCACGGCGGCTGAGGAGGCGATTGACAGGCACTTCGCCGATTTGAAGGCAGCCCTGGACAAGAGGCACAGCGAGCTGAAGTCCGCCGCAGCGGCCGCCGCCACGCACAAACGCAAGCTGCTAGAAGAACAGCTGAAGTTGATTGATGCGGAGAAATCTAAAGTGAGTTCTGTTTTTACTTCTTGTTTTTAAAATTTAAATTTAGACTGGACGCATCATCACAATAAATTGCCGGATTTGCTATTCAGATGAAGTGATTAAGAATTAAGAATAAGTCTGGTTATAAATACACGAACTAATATATGGCTTACAATCTATAGTAAAAAGACATCAGGCGATGCTTAGACCAAACAATGCAATTAAATTTGACAATGTAATCAGATTTCCGTTTTCAATTTAAATTATGTTTATTTTTCTTTATAGCTACTTGAAAAAGATTTAATGCTTGGCCAAACCAAAAATAACCAAACTATTCTGCATTGATTAAGGACAGCATTTAAAAATTAATACATCCAAGATGTAAACTTTTATTTATTTTAAACTTTTATTACCATAATCTTCTTCTGTTGAAAACCAGAAATGCGCATTAAGGTTCATGTGACATTAAACCATGTCAAAGGGTTACATGGCTTCTTGAAATGCACTTAAACGGCTTTTCCTTCAATGTTACTTATCATTATCCAACTGCACCTGAATTTCTGTTCCTGTTAGAAGAAGTTTATACTAAAAATATTATTCGCTTATTACTTTTCCGATTACAAAATAAATTTTCAGTGCGAAAATTTTATTTTAAGCTATCCATCAGCAATTTATACAGGGTTTTTAATATCGAAGATATAAACAGTAAAAAGGTGCTTTTTCTACAGAGGCAATTTTTTTTTAATTCCCTGTAAATAAATGAGTGACTCCATACTCATATGATAAATGTGAAAGTTTATTCATTTTATTGTTAGTTTATTAACAAAATAAATTCAGACGTATTGAATGAAGTAGGTACGACAAATTTTTCAGTAGACATAGAACAGGACATTTATATATCCCGTAGAGTTTCTAAATTCACTTCAGTTGCCTGGTGTACCCTCATATAAAATTAGGCGTAAGGCAGTGAGACTTCCGGTCACAACTTGGACGGAACATAATTAGTGCCACCGAAGACGATTAAGAAGGAGGAAGGACGATTAAAAATGTAACGAACTCACCATTCCCTATAATTCCCACAAAACTATTCCAATTAAAAAGCCTGCAATTTCCTATTGAGCTTTATTTAGCTTTGACTTTATTAGCGTTAACAAATCGCAAGGGCAAACGTAAAACGTAGCGGACGTGAACCTAGAAAAACCGTGCTCCACCCACGGTCCATTGTGTGTGGCACTCGCTTTTTTTCGGTCACACTTCCCATCGTTGGCACGTGATAACAACATCTGTTGGTATTGCCACCTTCGTGCTCTTGGCCGGAGAGGACTTTGAGACGTTCTAGCTTTAAAAGTGGCGTTTGCCGTGCAGGTGGAGGCGGAGTGCTCCGGCCTGCAGCAGCAGGTGGAGGTGCGCGAGGTGAGCAGCCGCGCGGCGGCGCTGGGCGCGCGGCTGGGCGACGCGGCCGCGCTCGCCGAGCCCAGGGAGAACGCCTTCCTGGCGGTGGACTTCGCGCACAACGACGCGCAGCGGCGGTTCGCCGACGCGCTCGCCGCGCTGGGCCGCGTGCGCACCAGCACCACCTTCCCGGGCCTCTGCACGCTCCAGCTCGGTGGGTGGCGCCGGAGCCGTTCCCCGAAGTGTCCGTTTAGTTTTGATGGGAGTAGTGATCGTTGGAGATGATGAGGTGATGATAGAGCGAAATGGATTATTATGTAGATAGATTTTGACATGGGAGAGATGAAGCGAACCCTTCGAGTATGCGGGAAAAGCTGGTGATTCGGAAACACTCCACCCTCTCTGGCCGTCTTGTACCCGTAAGTAGACGCCCTGCGAAGTGTAGAGCCTTATGGACTCCAAAGCTCAAATCAATATATGTATAATATATGAGGAGGTGAGCTCCTCTTCTCTCCTGTTCTCTATATAACCTTCCGTGAATGTGATTGGGTCGCTCAGCGGCTGAATCAGGTGACATTATGTGTTTGCTCTTACGCTCGTAAACGTGTGCCGCAGAGTCGGATTGCGTGTGCGGGCTGGAGGTGTCGGTGGTGCTGCGCACAGTGGACTACCACGGCGAGCCGCGCAGCACGGGCGGCGACCCGGTTAGCGCGGCCGCGACCCTCGACGACGCACCCCTGCCCTGCGCCGTCGCCGACCTCGACTCGGGCCTCTACAGGTACGACGCTTAGACTCACCGACACAGTACATACTTTTTCTTAGCATCACTGGCTCGATAGTTTCGTGACGGGCATCTTGTCGTCTAGATCATCATTTGACGCGGCGCTTTGTATCAGAGCTAGACACAAGGCGGTTATCCCCGGTTCCTATATTAACAAAACAAGGCGTTTTACTTACGTGCCGTTGCATTACCCACGGAAAGCGAGTTACTAGCGTTCCTTTAATCTACAAGTCGTTATGAAAGTAACGATGCTACGTAACTAACGGCCGTTCGTTGAATATAGGAACCGGGCATTAGACCGCGGGGCGATTCTCTCCCTCGGCAATATGCCTGCTCTAAGTTACCTTCGTCACGAAACTTCAGGGCACGACCACTTACGATTGCAACAATTTATGTATGATATGTAATTCAATATACTCGAGCAACCTGAGTTCGATCCCCGATGCCGGCACCAATGAAGTTTTTAACTTTAAGTGCTGACTTATCACGTGCTCCGCGGTGAAGGAAAACATCGTGAGGAAACCTGCATGTTTGCGAAATAATAATAAAAAAAAATATATTTCGAAGATATATGAAGTCCGCCAATCCGCAGTGGGCCGCGTGGTGGACTATGCCCTGATACCCTCTGTATAGAGGAGGCCTTTGCCCAGCAGTGGGACATGTATAGGCTGTTACTTTACTTTTACTTTGTGTTACGATGAGTTCAGTCGCGTACTGTGAACGCTGCACGCGACTGTACACGTAACGCGGTCGAGCACAATCGTCGCCCGCGAGTACAATCGCGTCGCGTCGCGCCCAGGATCACGATGCGGCCGTGGAGCGCGGGCGCGGTGTGCGTGCGCGTGCTGGTGTTCTCGCGGGCGGTGCGCGACTCGCCGCTGCGCGCGCAGGTGCTGCCCGCCGCGGCGCCCCTCCTCGTGTGGGGCTCGCGCGGCACCGGCAAGGAGCAGCTCAGCCAGCCCGTCGCCGTTGCTAGGTAACGCCCTTTTCCCCCTCCCCCCTCCACCTCCCTACCATTCTAGCACTTCACACCACCTCTTACCACTGATAGAATGTTGTTTGTTTCAACGTCATGATCAATATAGTATCCTAAACCCGCCTCTACTTCTCCAATCCTCTCTCCTGTGCGTATGCGAATAAATCGCTAATGAATAGTTTTGATTGCACAATTATATATAGATAAACGTTTTTCCATTTTTTCATTATTTTGCATTGTATTCGTATATTAAAATTTTAAGGTGTCCCAAGCGTCGCGAGATCTATGTACTCGACGCGGGTAACTCGAGAGTCAAGGTGCTGGACGACGAAACGTTCGCGTTCAAAACGCATATCGTAAATGAAGGTAAACTATTTCACGTTAAATTGTTCGTTGTTACGATGACTTCAAAGCTTTTTCAAAGCGGCTCTGGTGGCGCGGCACTTCGAAAATATTAAATAAATAAATAATACACACATTTTTACACAACCTTCTCTAGACCCAATCTAAGCAACGCTTGTACTATGTGTACTAGATAAGTGATAAACTTACTTAAACATAATTTTCTTTTGTTTATAAATACAAATATAAACACCCAGACACTAGAAAAACACTACGTTAAATACAAAACACAAAATATTTTTCCAGTATTGAGGATCGAACCCACACCCTCTTGCGTAGTAAGCAAGTACACTACCCACTACGCCATTCGGGTCGTCTTTTTTAAATTATTTTTCGTCGTATTTACTTTTGGGCTCTATTGTTTCATTGAAAAGTTCTACAGTTCTTAAATATGTCTCGCAGGGCTTGCGGGCCGTAGCTGTACCGGGATTGCTGTTACCGCTGAAGGTGTGGTCGCCGTCAACTGGCGGACGAGGACTCTAACTGAGGTGCGGATTCATTTCCTTTTAGAAATGACACTGGATATAACTTATTTCTTATGTTCCTGTTTTTATAGATTAGTTGAGTCGTTAAGTTCCTCCTCATTGCTTCAAAGAATATTTGGATCATCTTGCCAAAATGAAGAGGTGTTAAAAAGTGCTTGAAACTCTTGGATTATACAGCGTGTCGTTACCATCGCGACAATAAATGAACACACGTCTAACGCTAGTTGCCAATAATCATAAAAAAATATTAAAGTTAAACAAAATCCATAATTAAAAAAATATATTTTTCAAACAAATTAAGTAAAAAGAAACAAAATTTGTAACATCCTATACAACTCGCACCACAGCGTCGCATTACAAACCTCTCCTTCTAACAGTATGTTTTTTCTCTTTTAAATTCAACCCATTCATATGCTTTGTGACCTTTACAAATGAACTTTACGTTACAGTTTTATACGTAAGTTCAGTTTGATAATGTTCTAAAATTCTTTGTTTTGGAAAAGATAATAACTCTGTAAATATTTATGTTTAAAGAATGTAAATGTTTAATACAATTTTAAAAAGTTATCCCCTATATGTGTGTTCATTTATTGTCGCGATTGTAAAGACACGCTGTATACAAGGGTTTGTGAACGGATTCTTTATTATGACTTTCTATATTAAGACTTTGATTCATAGCCGTGCTGGAACTAAGCGACGATTCCCACCAAGGACATTATCGCTAGTCACTACATATTGTAAAACAAAGTTCTCCCGCTGTCTGTCTGTTCCTATGTATGCTTAGATCTTTAAAACTTTGCAAACGGATATTGATGCGGTTTTTTTCACTAGATAGGGTGATTCAAGAGTGTCGTATTGCACCGCTGAGGAGGGACTCCCTGTCCTCCCCCAAGAGACGGGCGGTGTTGATCACTTACCATCAAGCTACCAGCTTGTGCGGGGTGCCTCCCTTTTCCATATATCTTGCTCTGTATATTATTTTATAGATCCAATACCAATGAACTTAATATGGGACCAAATGGGATGCACCAGCTTTCAAACCGAAAAAGAATCATCAAAACCCGATTCAATCAGTCGAAAGTACCGAGATAAAAAACATAAAAAAAATACAGTCGAATTGAGAACCCCCTCCGTTTACAGTCGGTTGAGAATAACGTGAGCGTTTGAGAATAACGTGAGCGTTTGAGAATAACGTGAGCGTTTGAGAATAACGTGAGCGTTTGAGAATAACGTGAGCGTTTGAGAATAACGTGAGCGTTTGAGAATAACGTGAGCGTTTGATAATAACGTGAGCGTTTGATAATAACGTGAGCGTTTGATAAGAACGTGAGCGTTTGATAATAACGTGAGCGTTTGAGAATAACGTGAGCGTTCACGAGCGTTTGCCTGTCCGGAGACGGAGACGTGGCCGTGTGTTCCAGGTGAGCGTGGACGGGTCGACGGTGCGCACGATCCGCTCCGAGCGGCTGGTCGAGCCGGTGTGCGTGGCGGCGGACGTCGCCTCGCGGCGGCTCGCGGTGGCCGACAACGGCGCCAGGGCGGTGTTCGTGTTCGACGCGCGCGGCAACATCGAGCGCGAGGTGAGTCAGCCCCCCACCCCCTCTCCCACTCACCTTCGATACGTGCGAGCGGGACGGGGCGATCGTGCGGCATTTCCTAGCGCTCTTTCTACTCCGGATGGGAAGAACCCAATGGACGAAATGACGCAACGCTCCTTCGGGAAGTGTATATCGGTTTAGATAAATTCTATACTGAGTTGGATTTATCATGTGACTATCAGAACATAAGACGAGGTTCCAGAGTTCTGAGTCCGATTTGCTTGAGTTTACTTTAAAATTGGGTTCAATTTAAGTTAGCCATCTATTTAATTGTCTATTTAGTGAAATGTTTTGTTTTATATAAGAACCTAAAGAACTAAAATTATAATTATTATTGTTTTCAGATCGGAAACGGTGATCTTGGCCTTGTCGGAGGGTTGGCTCTGTCCGAACATATGATCATTATAGCTGACGTCGCCGTTCGAATTTACGACTCCGAAGGGAACTTGCAAAATACGATAGCACCTGTACCAAAAGGTAACCAGAATAAGAATGCAGTATGTTAAATGCCTTTAGCACACCGCCGCGAAAGCGAACCGAAACTCTACTGAAACAGTGAATCGTTGCCTAGTACGATCGTGATTGGTTCGTTTCACACAGCAAAAGGAACGAAGGCGAAACGAAATAAATCAGTTCGCTTTGATTCCGCGACAAATTCGTACGTGTCCACAGAATTGCGGCAGCGTCAAAAGTGTCAACTCAAGTTTTTATATAGATATGATTGATAAAAATGAATAATCTTATTAAAATTTGTATAAAAGCCGTTTAGCTTAGTGGCCGCTATGAAACTGGCAAGGTTTTGGTTCGTTCTGGCGAACCGTTAAGCTCAAAACGGAACGCAGAATTCGCTATGAACGAACTCTGCGCTTCGTTTTCGCGTGTCGGTGTGCTGCAGGCGCAAAAGCCGTGCAGTGTCGCCACGCGTCATCTTGATTGCCACGTGACCGTGTTGAGGGCGCGGCGGGTACGGCGGCGTGGCGCTGGAGGGCGGCGAGGGGGGGCTGATCGTGTGCACGCGCGCCGTGAGGGGCCGGCCGGCGCTGCTGGCGCTCGAGGCGGGGGGCCGCGTGGTGGCAGCCTGCGAGCTGGCGGAGCGGCGGCCGAGGCGCGTGGCAGGCCTCGCGCTGCTGCCACGCCGCCGCGCGCTGCTCGCCGACCTCGCCGGCGACTGCCTGCGCCTGCACGCCTACTGGTGAGGTGCGTGCCCGCCCGCCCCCGCGCTAGCTAACGGCGACAGCCCTGACAGTTTTCCGACAGGCTGTGTGTTCCGGCCAATATTGAGTGCACAGCGAGGCGTTAGCGGTGACAACCCTGCAAGTTTCGCCATTGGATGTTTGCTCGGCTAATAGTGAGGTGAGTACGCAGCGAGGCGTTAGCGGTGACGGCCCTGCAAGTTTCCCCCTTGCCTACGCCTGTTCAGATAATGCTGAGGTGAGTGTGGCCCGTCAGACGCTAGCGCGGTCAACGGCGCGGAGACAACCCTGCTAATTTCACTTCGGACTGCGTCTGTACAGCTAATGATTACCCAGCGAGACGTAAGCGGTGACACCCCTAAGTGAGTGCCCTGTCAAACGCTAGCACGGTCAACGGCGTGGTGACAATCGTGAAAATTTCCTTCCTGTCTCTGTATGCACAGCCAATGAGGCAGTTCTATTTGCCGGTGTCTGCGTGAAGTTATAGTGAAATAAGTTCTTTGCAATTTTCTTCCTGCCTGCGTATACCGAATGATGAAGTGCTCCCTACCAGTCTCCCAGAGTGTAAATAGTAGACCAGTTAAAACTTGTAACATTAACATGTACATAAGCAGGATAGATATCAGACAAAACCACACTTGGCAAGGAACTCACAGGCGTACCTTAACAGAGCCCCAGTCAGCTGACCTCTGTTTACGATTTAGCCTAACTTGTGTTATTTTGGAGAAATCTAGGTATTGCTCTGCCTGTGGAGAATGATGGTCCTGACCACCTACTGATGATTTGAATTGAATTGTCAACCGCTTGGTAACAAGACCAAATATGTCGGTAGCTGCTAATGCATCTAGAACCGCATCTGTTGACATAACCTACGTCGCAGGCTATGTCTGAACAAAAGAACGATTTCGATAAATAAATTTGCTGCTTTACTTCTGATGAGGTAAGATACTTGCTAAGTGGAGGAACTCGGTACGTAAGGTACTGGCTGCGGTCTTCAAACAGCATGGTGAGTTTCCCGTTCTGCAATTATAATCCCATCTGTGTCTTCCCCACTTGTCACCCATTGTACTGTGCTGTAAGACATACTATACTATACTTCCACGCCTACTAAATATAACCTATACTGTTTAAATTAATTAAAAGGTTGCAATTAACTCCTTATATTATGTTAGGCTTTGGGAAGCTTATCGTCGGGGATTAGACTGTTACGTGCAAAAGTCAGTATCACATCTACGATACATAAGCTCGGCGAAACTTGTTAATATTACTTACACTCCACCCCGTTAATGTCAAAATAATGATAATATATGAAAATATTAATGTTTGTGTAGTTACCTATATTGTTTTATTTATGTGTTAATTATTGCAGGCGAATAGAGCAACCTGATGTTAAGTGATTATCACCGCCTATGGACATAGACAGCGCCTGATGGGTTTCAGATACGTTACAAACCATTCAAAAAAATGGGCACCGGGTATCTCACTCACTACACAAAATTATTATACTTCTATTTCACTCCGGTAAGGCCCAGGTGCTTCGCCGGAAATTCGTGCACGAGTTGATGTTTTGAATGTCATTATTTTCCTAGTTTGCCTGCAGTGTAGTAAGAAAATAGCACAGCTTCTCAAAGAGAACTCTCTCTCCTCCAGATGTTCCGACGCGGCGGATGGAGGAGAATGAAACTTCAGCCCGAGGGCGAATTGTAAACGAATTTCATGCTAGTCCAATATTGTAACTGAGAAACGAACTTGGCCATATTCGCGGACTGGATCGGGACGTATTCGTACCAAAGTCACGCCGGCGGCGCCACCGTCGTCGGCTGTATTTCACTTACGATATTCGTAGTAGGTACTTACAGTATTTATTTATTTTTAAGTTGCTTAATATTACGTTATACTGATATGTTGTTTTTTTTTCTTTAGATTACGACGTCGCATTTATTACGGCGTCGCTTTTGACAATATTCGCGACTGATTTTTAGGTGTACTGTGTCTCTATTCTTACATTTTTGCATAGTCTATTATCCGATAGAACTTGATTTCGTTTAAGAGGCGTAGTAAATAGTGATGATAATTATTTGATTTCGCTAGTCTGTCATGATTGCATTTATAGTGTCATACCGAATTCAAAATTCAATAGATATACGTGCCTCGGCGTGCAAGTGTATTTTCCCCGCCAAAACAGAAATATTTTTTTTTAATCTAGAAAAAGCAACATAGTGATGTGCTCTAAGTTAAAGGTGTAATTGGAGTTGATCGTAGTTAAGGTAGAAAAAAATATTTTACGACTATGGTTTTGATAGTAAACCACAGGGTACGTTAGGTGACAGATGTTCAGTTGATATGCATGGTTTTCTCCTTCATCGTGTGTAGACAAAACTGTAGCACATCACTACTATAACTCGAGACAATATTCGAACTTCGAACAATATCTATTTAAGGACTTTTACTACTTTAGTCTTAGATATCTTTCTCTTTCCTGTAATTGACTTTAAAATACCAAGTCACACACAGGGTTACACTACCCAAAATTTTATTTTTTTGTCGCTAATAAATTTGAAATAAAAAAAATAGCTTATTACTCGCAAACAAGTTATTATCTTTGCAGACAGTTAATAGTCGAACGAAATATGCATCGAGCGATCATTCAACTAAACCGCATCTTTTTCGCTTAGCTCGTTCGGGGTTCACAAGCGTTATGGTTGCTCAATTAAATCTTCGTCATATCACGTAGAGAAGCTTACATTTCGCTAGTTTAGACATAGCTGAGTTGCGAGTGAATTCACAGTGTTTGTCGTCGGATTGTCGCCATAGTCTATCGGCACTTAGGAGACTAGTTATTTGTCAATTCTATGCTTAGTGTTGCAGATTTTGGGTCAATTCAAAGAATTTTTTTCTCATAATCCAGATAAATTCACATAGACGATATACATACGTGATATGATAAATATTACCACGATGCACCACCTAGCTAATGTGTCTCTAAATTTTTAGATGTCAATAGATTCGGATAACAAAATTATATCCTAAACTATACTACTGGATCTGATTTAATATTCAATATAATGGCTTTGAAAAAATTGTTCATTCGGAGATCTCTCCAGACTGGTAGATAATCCGCGGTATTTTTACTAACGAACTGTTTGACCAAATTAGACTAAAACTGGGCGGCAGGTGGTTACATAAATATGAACATTGCAATATCAGGGGGGGGGGGGGGGGGCAATAGAGGGATGGGGGTGTCTGGTTCCTTTATCCCTACATCAAGACAAACAGTCATGCCAGTCTTTTATGAGGCCGTGGTATTCTCCCGTTCGGCTCGGACTATTCAAGCCGCAGAAAAAGCTGTGTGACTGTACAAGTAAAGAAATGCTACGGTAAAATACTACATTTACTAATATCTGTTATTCACATAGCACAAAACATTGTGAGAGCATAATATAAAAGTCTACTTCTCTTTTCACGTAATATTTTTTTTAAATCACCATTTTAGAACAACTATTCGTAAAACTAATATTTCCTGTTTTCACTTATACTTCATCTTTGATCAGTTGGAAAAATAAAATCATACGAAGTTATTTTTTGAAAAAATGAAGTGTATAAATATTAAATTACAATTTTTAAATTAAAAATTAAACTTATTTCACTCATACTAGTTTTAACGAGAAAATTGTTTGTTTCTTGTAACAAAGAAGTTTCTTTATCGATAGCTGGAATTAAGCTGGAAGTTGAATTTATAATTTCGGATATGGTTACATATACATCTAAACTGTTCATTAATTGTTTCGTTATATTTCACAACGTGACAAAAAAAGTCGAGATATAATATTTTAAAATCCGTTTCTTATTCGATCATAACCTTAAGGAAGAACAAACAAAATATTGGTTAGGTATCTAACTTAATAACTTGTATTACTAACGCAAGCTCAAGCAAAAGTCACGATCTTTAAAGATATGAATTTTGATATTTCGAAGTTGTTAAATCATATTACCAATCTGTGGAATTTTGTTAACTACTCCGTTACACATTTATTCTTATTTTGTAGAAGTCACTTGTCTTCACATTGTCATAATAGATTAAATCTCTTCACCACTGTTGATTAAAATTCATTCAAGGTCTAGAATAGGTTTATGATGTCACTGACTCATCCAATAGAAATGGTAAACAAATTAATCGTTAAAATGCACATACCGAAGTGAATTGTGTAATTGTAATTGCATAATTGGAACACAAATGGCAGTGAAACATTAAAATAACAACGTGAGTAAACAATGTTTTGTGTTATCGTTAAATATGTATTTTGTATATAATTAAATGTTTCGTATATATTTTGTGTCTATATAATTTTGTGTCACATTATACGTACATAAATATAAGTAACTAGTCATATTTTGAATTTCAACATGTTTTTGTTAGGCTATAATATGAAAGCAAAATCGTTTAAGTAGCTAAAATAGGTGTTGAGCCACTTACACAGACGAAAAAAATAATGTTATACAATGTAAGTCCTAGGCTGTTCTTCATAGATTTATTAGTGGTTTGTGTCGGTTTACATATTTTGATTTTAATTACAAGAGTAACAGATTTCTATCTTTCTGTCCATCTATCTGTCCTATATTGTAGCATCTCAATTTTCTTGCTAAAAATGACAGAAGTAATAAAGCAAGCAATTTGTTTTAAAACATTTGTTAGCTAATTAAATATACTTTCATTCAGTAAGTGTATCGTTCCCTTAAAAAAATCAATGGATATATTATTATTAGACAAAAAAATAAACAGTGATTGCGTTAAAAAATAGGAATAAGAAAACTACGAAAACATTCGTTAAATTATTGTTCAAGAAACATAGTTTAAAATAGAATGTTTTTTTATAAACAGTAACAATTGTTTTCACCTAATTCTTCACTTTTTTTTTGTATTTCATATATCTATATTTCTGATAATTAAACTATAAATTATGTAAACTATATACATCTATTTTATAAAACCATTTAAATCGGCTCTAAGGTTAAGGTGAAAATTTTTATTTCGTTAAAACAAATCCATAACCAGCCAATTTATTATAAACGTGAATGTTCCTTTGTAATTCTAATAATGAAACTAAAAAATATTTTTATATACTTACTAATTTGTGTGCTGTACAGAATATCTATCGTAATACTTTGTTGTTGCGGTATCAGGTTATATTATATATGTTTTTAATATTATATGTTAAAACATTAAATAATTGCTGAGAACCACCTGTATACGATCACCCTTGTGGATGAATTTTGTTACCTCGCCACAGTATTTCACATGACTATAATAACCGCACAATTGTGATGAGGGGTTCGTATTCTGATTTTTCAATTTGAGAAGCGTTTTAAATGTATAACGTTAATTTAATTTTAAAACGAAAATACAAAATTTTCGTTTTAATAAGTGCATCAGTGCTTTTATTGTTAACGTCTCATATATAGCTAATAGTTTTAGCAAATTCTGCAAGAAATGTTACATAATTAAGTTGTTACTGTGGAGCCATAAGGTACGTTTTATCCGTTCTTTGCGACAAGCTATGTAATATTGTCACAAATTTATTAAACTCCACTGCCCGTAAACTAATGTTTCTGTTAATTATGGAAATTTGACTAGATCAATTTTGTTACATTTAAGATGGATACAATTCATTATGATATGACTATCTGCATTAAAGAAAAAATCGAAAACTATCAAAGAAGCAAATAAATTATTAGAAAAGTGACACCGGTTCTATAATATTTAAACAAAGAGTATTTTTGGCAAAATATGTATATGAAATATTTTTGCATTCAGTAATAATACCAAAATGGAATTAACTTTCTCACCTGTTGAGTTGTATCCTAGCGTTAACAAAGCTGTATTTATCGAAAGCTGTGAATCTGTACTTAAATTGTAATCACAGAGTATCTCAGTGTTTTGACGATAATTTCACTTATGCAAAATACAATAATGTTAAATAACGGCTTTTTTATTTAACCCATAGAATAAGCGGTGAACTAGTTATACCGGAGATTTTTGTTTTCAGTTTTAATTTAATACAATTAGTGAAGTAAAGAGCGCCCAGCACGGGGCAAGTTTACTAGCTGGAATCTCTGCCAGATAGCGTTAGATTTCGGTTTACAGACGGTGTCGAAGAAAGCATCCGATAAAGCAAGCAGATCCATACACGAAAAATGGCACTTGAAGTTAAATGAAGCTGCAGCGGAGATAGAAAACGATGTCATTTTAGCTACGTTACTTGAAAGCATGCTGTGTTTACAGATTTCTATCAGTAAATCAACGCCATTTTCCATCAACATTTCCATTGCACGCAGAGTTTCTAGCTAATAATCCGTCAAGTAAACTTGCCTCGTGTTATACTGGCATAACATTGATGGAAACAAGCAAGGTAGCTTACCGTTAAGCCGATTGATTATTCTCATCACCGCTTAATCTTATTAACAAATACCCGAGGTAACTGACTTAAATATTCACTTGAACTCTCCAGTCACGAAGCTGTTTATGTTAACGGATGTGAGTTGTTTCAATCTCGATATAAAATTAATAAGAAGTTTCTTAGTTTTATTTCAAGGACTTTGTCCTTCAGTCAAAGCTTTAAATATTATAGATGGATATTTAATTTTACGTCTATTCAGAGTACCACGTCTCATTTTCATTTTAACTGTTGGCTAAAGCAAAAATCATTTTAAAACAAAGCTTTAAGGATTATTAAAGGTAGATAACTGCAAGACACCGACCTCCGAAGGTTTGCTAATTGCTTAGAATGTGGGTACATTCTAAAATTGATTCCGACCTCATCGGACCTTTTTTTTAAGTGAAAAGTTGCCAAACGAGCAGACGGTTCACCTGATGGTAAGTGAATACCGCCGCCCATGGACATCTGCCACACCCGAGGGTTACAGATGCGTTGATAACTTTTTGAAAATTGGGCTCCAGCTACCTCACTCACCAGACGAAACGCGAAAATATTTGTCAATTCTCTATTTGAATATAAAATGTAGTATCAATACTGTAGTGTTTTATTGCGTTAGTACTTTTACAAACTACGGTTTTAAAATTACTTAACAGCATGTCTTGTGGGGCTGACCAGATCAATATTTAAAAAAAAACGATCGGGTCAAACTGACGCCATTTGGTATAGACTAGATAGAGTACCCACTGCCGAATACTAAATATTGATTTTTAAATGACTGTTATAATTTACCTGAATCTGTGTGTTTAAATATAAAACAACGCCTACGAAAATAATTGAAGCATAATTTGGCTGCATTATTTCGAAATTGAAACAACTTTTGTTTACCATAAATCTTTCCTCAAAGTGTTGACCTTCAAAATATCAATGGAATATAAAAATAAATGCTTTAGTACAGGAATTAAAGGCATTTTATATAAACATATAAATTTTTTATTATGCTTATACATATTCATACGACTACAATTTTACTGGATATAATATTAATGTACATAATTATAACTTTTATAGGAAAGACAACAAATCCAATAACTTTAGAACAAACAAATTTATACAAACAAAAACAATTTAAATGCGCAATGTATTACGAATATCTTAAAAGATACCTTATTATACAGATATAGATTATTTAGGAACCGTTGTTAATCATAAGGAATGCTGTCTGTATAACTCACATGCAACTTATTATTACTTAAAAAGAAAAATAAGTATTAAATCATATCTAGGGACCTGTAAATTTCATACCTGACCAGAATTATATAAATGCAATTAGGTCTACTATGTAATCGATATGTATGGTACATCTGTCGTGATGGTCCCCACACAGTAATGGCCGTTTCGAGGAACGTGATGATGCATTTCGGACGTAATTACTTCACATTTCGTTAAACATAATCTTCAAAACAACATAAAATTTATTTAAACGAATAAGCAAAGCAATATAAAAAAAATGCAGAACAACAAATTCTGTTTATTTAAAGCGAATCCTTTATAAATTAGCCAAATAAAAATTAGGAGATCAAGAAATACACCATTTCTTAAGTCGTAGTGACAATATCTTATCACAAAATGAGCAATGAAACGGTTAAGATCTAATATTTAGAGTTTTAAAACATTCTATCATGTTTTTACGACGTACCTTGTAAATCCATGGATGATTCGATTATTTATTTATTTATACTTCATTGTTACGCCTTAGGCTAAAGGCTACAATGGGCGGACTTAATGCCTAATGCCATTCTCTACCAGTCAACCCGTTTCATTATTTAATATCCATTAAATACAGACAACAGAAAGAAAGAAAAAAGAGAAGAAAAGAGTAGTATGGATATGAAAACATGGATAAGAATAGTATATGAATAATATATATAGTATAGATTCCCGAAACTCGCGTGTCCTTGCAGCTTTGTATTGTCTTGTTGAGGAGTTCGACCATAGCCGAGCCTTGCTTTGACCTTTTGAGGCGGATGAGATTAGTATGAATAAGTATGGTATGGATTGGATTGTTGGGAAGTTCATATAGAGTTGGGTTCTACTTCCCGAAGCTCGCGAGCGTTTCCTTGCAGCTCTGCATTGCCTTGTTGAGGCGTTCGACCGTAGCCGAGCTTTGTTTTGACCTTATGAGGCGGATGAGAATAGTATGAATAAGTATGGTATGGATAAGAATAGTATGGATTGGATTGTTGGGAAGTTCATATAGAGTTGGGTTCTACTTCCCGAAGCTCGCGAGCGTTTCCTTGCAGCTCTGCCCTTGTTGAGGCGTTCGACCGTAGCCGAGCTTTGTTTTGACCTTGTGAGGCGGATGAGAATAGTATGAATAAGTATGGTATGGATAAGAATTATGGATTGGATTGTTGGGAAGTTCATATAGAGTTGGGTTCTACTTACTTCCCGAAGCTCGCGAGCGTTTCTTGCAGCTCTGCATTGCCTTGTTGAGGCGTTCGACCGTAGCCGAGCTTTGTTTTGACCTTATGAGGCGGATGAGAATAGTATGAATAAGTATGGTATGGATAAGAATAGTATGGATTGGATTGTTGGGAAGTTCATATAGAGTTGGGTTCTACTTCCCGAAGCTCGCGAGCGTTTCCTTGCAGCTCTGCATTGCCTTGTTGAGGCGTTCGACCGTAGCCGAGCTTTGTTTTGACCTTATGAGGCGGATGAGAATAGTATGAATAAGTATGGTATGGATAAGAATAGTATGGATTGGATTGTTGGGAAGTTCATATAGAGTTGGGTTCTACTTCCCGAAGCTCGCGAGCGTTTCCTTGCAGCTCTGTATTGTCTTGTTGAGGCGTTCGACCGTGGCGGAGGTTTGCTTCGAGCCCAACAGGCGGGTGCAGCTGCCGATCGTGGTGTGGTACCCGCACACGTTGTGCAGCACCCTCACCGCCCTGTCGCCGCACACGAACAGATACTTGCCGCTGGCGTCGAAGCACATGCAGTTTATCGGGCCTGAAACAGACGCGCCGCCCACGCGTGCCGATTGGGTTCGATCGATCGATGCCCGTCTTGGACGGGCGCGTTCAATAATTTAGCGCCTCGGCCGGCCTCGAGGCGCGGTCGCTATGGCGAACAGAATTTGTAACACGGGACGGGAATAAAGAATTAGCCGTGTGATCGATACGGTCGCATTGTTATTCAGGTTGAAATGAAAAATCCACTGCGCACCGGGGAGATGATAATAACCGAGCAGCGTGTTTTTCTTAAATATAAAACGTCAAGCGTCCGCCGCATATCGACATCTACAACAACTTAGCGCTTGCAGAGGCGTTGACAACCTTTAAAAAAGTGAGCCCCATATACCTCCCCAGATGAAACGCGAAAGTACGAGTATAATACTTCCACTTCACGCGGGTCTTCTGTGTGGCCGGACGAATCTAACCATCCGTGCAACAGCGCAAACAAATGCGCGGCCCTACCTTGTTTTCCTGATTCGGAAAACAAGTAGCCAAGACTGGCTCCATTTGGTATTGTTGACCATTATTATAATGCTAGTATGTTATATAAGAACAACATAGATTCCTATTAGTGATTTGAAAATTAAAATAACGGTGAGATAACAAAAAAAGAGAAAGCGTGAACTGGTGCTACAAGAATCGATCACAGCAAATCATTTGTAACGGAATCGCAAGTTTTAACCGCACAAACTTGTTTATAGAAATATTTGTGAGCGACATATGTGACTCAATAGTAAATAATTATGAGCCAAGGAGTCGATTGCCGTTGTGGAGCTATCTACTGAATCTTCGTTCTGTGACATGAAGGTGTTTTTTTGTTTAATTCCAAAACAATTTGAGCAAAAAATAACTTGCAACTAACCAAATGATTTAATTAGTTTTTCAAATCTCTATATTATTTAAACATTTGATTATAGTTTATAGGATAACTTATAAGCACTTTTATTAAACCGCATAGTTCACATAATATACATTAGTTATCAATACTTGATGTATTATTATTTCAGTCAATTTTATCAAATCAAAATTTAACCAGTACAAGAGTATAACAAATCAATTCAAAAATCAAATCAAAAATATATTTATTCAAATAGACACTTGCGCGCTCTTATGAATCGTCAAATTTTACATAAAGATTATGTGTATAGGTTCGTAAGGTACCACCGGTTCGGAAAGCAGTTTCTGTTGAGAAGAGACCGGCAAGAAACTCAACAGTTGCTCTTTTTCAAAAATATCAGGGTACAATATAATATACAGGTATAATAGTCTTATTCTAGCCTACGTGAGTATCAACAGTATTAACTCCACACATTGGCGTCGTCGAGATATTCCGAAATGGTATAATATGCTTTAACCATCAGTTGATTTTAATTTTACATTTAAATTGGTCAAGCGGCAGACTTAATATCGACTGTGGGATTTTATTATACATACGCACACTTTGCCCCATGAACGACTTATTTACTTTTTGTAGACGAAACAATGGCGTAGTAAGTTTGTCCTTATTTCTAGTGTTTATTTTATGTCTGTCACTATTCTTTAGGTAATAATTAAGGTTATGACGTATATACAAAACATTACAATAAATGTATTGAGAAGCAACAGTGAGTATATTAACCTCTTTGAAAAGATCTCTGAGTGAATTCCGGGCTCCGATATTGTAGATTGCTCGGACAGCTCTTTTTTTGAAGAATAAATATAGAATTTATATCTGATGCACTACCCCACAACAAAATGCCGTACGACAAGATGCTGTGAAAATAACTAAAGTAAACAAGTCTGGCAGTGTCGATGTCTGTTAGCTGCCTAACCCTTCTAATCGCAAAAACCGCGGAGCTCAGCCTATTCGCAAGAGATGATATATGGGGACTCCACTGGAGCTTTGAATCTACTGTAATTCCCAGAAATACAACAGACTCAACTGGATTAATGGGTACGTTATTTAATATTAAACTAAAACTTTTCCTTCTTATACTGGGAAGGGTAAAAAGAATACATCTAGTTTTTTTGGCATTTAATACCATATTATTAATAGTAAACCAGTGGAGGATATGTGAAAGTGCACTATTCACGTCGTCATAATTTAATACGTTTCGGTCAACTTTAAAAATAAGCGATGTATCGTCAGCAAACAGTACAACATCACACAACCCACTGGCATAAAAGGGGAGATCATTAATATATACTAAAAATAATAATGGGCCCAAGATTGATCCTTGTGGGACTCCCATTTTCATCTGGGACCCAGCGGAATTAACATCATTTATAGATACTTTTTGAATTCTATTACTAAGGTAAGAGGCAATGAGATTGAGGGCGATGCCACGAATGCCAGTTTGTCTATGGTATTGAAAAGAGTGTGTAGTCAATTAATTCAATGTCAATTAATTGTCCTCGACAATTAATAACTATGAAGTACATACGATGCACAAAGGTGCCGTCTTATCGATCTAAATATAAATAGAAGGTACAAGTACTAGATACTTAGGTGCTACCTCGGAAATATCTAAATGCCAAATCAAACAATACACTTTGAAATTATTCGAATACCAAAATTAACCGTAAGTTAAGTTCGCCCAATAATATACGCGCTATGGATGGCTGCTGCGTGACCCTTCCACCTTTAATTTTATCGCCTTTATTTTGACCTGATGGTGAATGTTCACCGCTGTCCATGGACACTGAACAACAGAGGGGGTCACAAACGCGCCTCCAATCAAAACTGTCAGATGCCTCACCCGAGTATATGTTCTCCACCGTGTCGTACAGCTGGCCGGTGTACGTGTCGTAGAACTCCACAGAGCTGTCGACGGAGACGGCCAGCACCTCCGCGTTGGGCGAGAGCGCGATGTGAGGCGCGTTCGCGGTCTGAGTGTAGCTGCCCGTCTCCAGCACGTGCGGGGACTCTCCTCGCGTGTACTCAACTGGCCGAACAACATAATTGGCTTTAAGTAATTTCGCATCTGCGACAGAAACGAACAGATACATAAACAACAAGCAGGCGTTTGTTTTCAAACTTCGACTACCCCGCTCCCCGCCCCTCAGTGCGAAAAGCGTTGATTTTCAACCTTCGAAAACCTCACTCACGGAACGAAAGGTCACCATTTAAAAAAAACTTCACATCGATCTTCTTTCAGCCAGTGGTATTTCTATGCTGCCTAGGAGTGTCGAGTAATGAGAAAAAAAAGCGACTGTAGCTTTGCCAAAGTCTTCCCACCATTCTTCGTTTTCTCACTTTCCAATACAAGGTCAATTAGATGTCCCTAAAGACGAATTGTATGGAAGGAATTTTATTCCTTATGCGATGCAAAACTTCAGAATTTTTAGACGAGACATTCAATAACCAATCAGTTTAAATCTAACGTACAGTATTTGCACTAGCGTCAGGTTTGAACACAATATTTATTGAATCGAGATATTAGTATGAAACATCTAGGATACTTAGAAGTCTGTTTGCGCACGATACTACAATATATTCTCAAAAAAGCACCATCCGCAAGTCGATTGAAGTGGTATTAATTAAACGAGAGAAACTTAAGGTGACATCTTTTATTCTGTGTCTAGTTCTGAAAACGCAAAGTAAAAAAGCACATGCATTCATTGCGAGTGTTCATTGTCAGGTTTCAGGAAAAGAGAAAACGAAAGACCAAACATATTTCCAATTAGTCAAACAAACGTAATTCTAATAGCGATTATAATTTAATTAATGCCAAGTTAACTGGCGGTATGTTCGCTTCCTGGGTTCGATTTCAAGCTAATGCCGACAATTAGAACAATATAAACGGTCGATTTTAGATGCAAATACTGATAATGTGTGTTAAATGTTATTACCATATCGTTATAGCGTGATTATTTAGGGTTATTGTATGTAACATAGAACATATCTAATATTTATTAACTGCATCGATTCGCCTGTCGTTATTTATCATTACAGGATCACTTATACCATCGAGCGATTACTAAATGTCATTAAAATGATTAAATTCAAGTACATCATCGTAATTAACGACAGAAAGGGTATAACTGCACATTTTTTCGCCGGAGCATCGATATGTTTATCTTGATGCTGCTTTATTAATGAAATATCAGACTCTAGTGTTGTCGTTGAATCCTTTACTTACCATTGCTAAATGAATAGAACACAAATTTATTTTTTCATAAGGTAATGTAAAATCAATCCAACGCCACATTACGACAAAAGCGTTCTTGGTATTTAGGGTGGGCTACTATGGTTGCAGGAATGTGGACACGCTTAGGTGTAATAAAAAGCAAATAGAAATTGTTTGGATTCTTGATTTTAGGTGAAAGTGTTCAACAGTGCAGTGAAGGACTAAAATACAACCGGTTTCTTTTACCGCGTGAATGTGTTGAATGCGATTCAGTTTAGTTAACTTATGTATGAAAAAAACAACTTAAAAAAGTGGGCTCTGGTTATCTTACCAGACGAACGCCACAGTATAGATAGTAGTATGGGCTTCACGCCGGTTTTCTGTGAGGCCATGGTGCTAACCCGGACGAGTCTGTCCAATTTGTGCAAGGGTAGAAAATGCCTGGCGGCCGAGACTTAAATGAATAGTTCAAAAATTACAATGAAAACTCTTAACTTAAATAATTATCTTAAAATGGCAATAAATTGTAAGAAGTCAACAGCTGGTTTTGTTTTACAAATAAAACTTATTATCTTTATTTCATAAAATTTAAAGAAGGGGTTATTTCACAAATAAATATGACGGTCACTAAATAATCATGTTGTTAGAATAATAGCTTAATAATTCAACCTGATACCCGGAAACCGAGTATTTATCGTTGGACTCGAAACCGGGTCAAAACCAAAGCACTCTGAGCCTTGAATGTTAAATAAATATACGAACGGATTCACAACAAACAATAGAAGTCGCGAGCAGTATACAAAGAATTAAATGTGTTCAGCATTATCGGATAAACGCGTCATCTATGCAAAAATACGTACGAATTACAAAGGACGAATAAATTGATAGTTGCCTGCGAAGGCATTTGCTCAATAAATTAACTAAATTAATGCGATAAAAACGTAAAGGTGAACATTTCGCACAAAGTTAACAAAGAAAATTTGCAACAGAAGAAACATAACAAAGCGATAAATTTGTATATTGCACTGCGACAAATCCCCGTGAACGATAGATGTAACGAATATTCATTTGAAATCGGCGGAACTAGGGAAACCCGCGACTACGTTTATCGTAAATAGTTTATTTTTATATTACGCACTAAGCGGATGATTCACATATCGAACGTGACATATATCAATAAAATGAATATACGCCACAATAACATAGCGTAATACAGTCGCAACGTTGACGTAAATATTATTTATTACCAGTTTTTTTACAATAACACAAAGAGATAAAGGCCAGGGCTCTCTTACATAATTAAATTGAATGACTAGATTTCCTTTTGTTATTTACGCACTTCGCCCCAAATTGACTCTGTCAAGAATTTAATTTCTTTTTCTCTCTTTTTAAAACCTTCACTTGTGTAGGTCACATAAATGCTGCTTATTTCATATATCTTCTTCTTTCACCTGCCCTTATCCCACACTAGGTGGAATCGGCAGATCATGTCCTTTCCCTCCACTTTCCTTTATAACCCCTCACCTCAATACTCACGCCTTTCACAGACATATCGTTCATCACACAGTCCATTCAAATCTTTCACGGTCTTTTCAAGGTTCAAATCCTCTAGACGCAATCATACTCATCACCCTTCTACTCTCACGACTTTAATCCCTTCTCATAACGTGTCCATACCATGTCAACCAATCAGTCAAATGGAAATCGAACACAACGAGTCGCAGTGCGAAACCCTATAGTAAAAACTGCGCTAATACAGTCGTCGAAAAAGCTAAGTAGCTAGTGACTTGATTACCATCGAGCCTGATGAGTGGGTATCATCACTAAAGCGTTCAAAAGCAATACGCAATGTGCCCGTCTATCGACGAAACCGTGGTCAAACATCGATGGGTGCACACATTTCGCAAGCTCCACGCATCTCCGGGCGTCGCATGACGAAACCGAACCGTATATAAGAGACGCGTTACGTCACGCCGACGTAAAACTACACGGGACTGACCCCAGACCCGCTCGGCCCATTTGCAACAACGTGTTATGTCGACGGTTGCCGCTTGCGTGCAACTTTCCTGTTATCTCGTCTAAAGATAAATCCAATAATATTATCGTAGGAAACGTTTCAAAGATATGTGAAAGCTGACAACCCGCAGTCGCGTGGACTATGCTCTAATACCATCGGTAAGGAGATCTTTGCGCAGATGTGAGGCACATACATACATTCCTCTTTTCTTTTTTTTAGTGTAGACGGAATCGTCCATTGCATTAAAGATTAAAAAATCAACATCAATAAGTCCGAGTTTTGGAAGACGATTCTCCGTTCATTTTTTTTTGTACGTGAAAAGCGATGATGAATGTAGTTCCTTGAATGTTGCCAGTTGGCAGAGCCGCAAATGGATTGGAGTGTATTAATCGTGCAATGAGATATGGTTAAATGTATTTAGGCGTGTAACGAAAACCAAACCGCACCATGGTGCCCGCTCAGTTCAATGATAATGCAAACAGTTAACACTTGTAGTTAAAAGCAACAGGGAAATTATTTATAACCTTTGGTATAATATAATAATAAATTTAAAGAACAGTCTGGCTCGAGGCATATGCTTTTGGATTAAACAAAATTTTCTTCCATGTGGGTTAAAACCTGCAGCACACCTAAGGTACACGACGTATGCCGTTACTGTAATAAACCAGATACATACATATTTACTAATACCAAAAATCGATAATAATCACAGCGCGTAATTCGTTAAAGCGCGGCGCAATAATCTGATCATATTAAATACCTAGTCCAAACAAAATCAAATCCGGTCAAGGGACCACGAAAACACAGTGGCGTTAGAACAAAACGAGCTCGCGTAAAGCACGCATCAAAGCAACGGCGCATTAACCACCGCGAACGCATGACGCGTGCGCAAAAACTCGAAGAGATACAACACGTAAGCCGAATGGAGGAGCATTCAACGTATCGCCGGCGTATGGCTCATCGAAGGTATCTGTCAGTTGATAACAGTAACGCACGCACTAGAATGCACACATTGCATGCAGGCCGCTACCGGTCGAAGTGGAAGTCAATGGGGGAGGCCTATGTTCAGCAGTGGACGTCCCACGTCTGATGTGATATGACGACGCACTAGATGTACCGTACTCACTCTTTGTGTGGAACAGCTTCCACGTGCCGTCCTTGGATATGGTCGCGATGTGAGAGGTGTCCACGTCGAACGCCACGTCGTATATACCGGACGTGTGGCCGCTGAGCTCGTACGCCTTCGCGACCTGTTTGAACTCGCCCGACTTGGCGAAGCACACCTCCATCACTTTCACGTCGGGCGAGAAGCCCGTGGCGACCACGAAGCGGCCGCACGGCGATATCCTCGCCGAGTGCGTGCTCATCAAGTACGTGTCCAGCCTGTCCAGCTGCTGGCCTTTCAGGTCCCAAATCACCATGTCCGTCTTCGATGAGCAGGACATCATAAATTTCCCGTTGCTCGATATCCCGAAGCCGATCACGTCCTCCGCGTGAACCTAGAACGGATGAGTTGATTCATTGTTTAATGCGAAACTGCCATGTTTATTTGGGTCAAGATAATTAATGGAATTTATGGGATTTGGTATTCTCTGAATGTTTGTTTAATAATTGGAAATCACTATCGCTGTCATAAGTTTCTGAATTGATGGATTGTACATAATGAGCATCTAACGGTTCGTGGAAAGCTAAAAACGTTCTGCAGTTATTCTTTTACCAGTTTTGATAAACTTTATACCCAAGTAGAAAGTCAATGTTCATACCAGAAACCGTTAAGGCATAACAAACGACGATTGATCACAGTACACAAATTCTAAATGGAGTCGTTTAAATTTGTGCGGCGGCGTGGGGTCAGCGCTAAAGTAGGTCAACATTCAACTGGCCGGCTAAAACAATCGACTCTCGCGACGCTTCCAAATACAGATGACATAAAGAAACCCTTTACGAAGTATATGAAATGAACGTCATTGATAATTCAGAGAATTAAAATTACTACATACGATTACTCCTTTTTGAAAAACAAAATGAAAATAAATTTGAGAATAACAATAACTTTCAAACCAGCGCAGAAAACGCATCTTAAATAAGAAAATGGCAACTCATTGCAAACATTAAGGAAAACCCTTGAGAAAATGAGTAGATTTTCTTGACATTAAATCTTGAATTAAACTTGAAGGCGTAATTAAAGTATCTTATGTTACTTAAATAATATAGAGTTTAATCCATTGTATGTGTCCCAGTATAACTTGTCCAAACGAATCCCAAAATAAGGATACAAAGTGAAGGTTCCCAAAAGATGGTGAATACACCTCAAATCGATAATCTTTCATTAAACTCTCAAGTATAAGATAATATAATAGCCTAGCATCTAAATTAATATAAGCCATTTTAATTTGACAAGAAAATAAATACTCATCTATACAGATAAATAAAATTGGAGTGTCTGTTTTAAAATAACCGCTTTTTACTAAATGCATTTGGATGTATACACGGTACATATAACAAAAGAAAATTTATTACAATTTTTGTTTGTGTGTCTGTCTGTTTGTTCCGGCTAATCTCTGAAATGGCTCGACTGATTTGGACGGGGCTTTCACTGACAGATAGCTGATGTAATAAGGAGTAACTTAGGCTACTTTTATTCAAGATTTTTTTTTTATTTTAAATTCCACGCGGACGAAGTCGCGGGCACAGCTAGTTATTCATATAATCTAGCGGTAAGTTCAATAGATGCAAGCTGAATTGAAAAGGACAATAAAATCGCTATTTTTGCTTTCGAAACTAACGATGTAAGACAGAAAGAGACGGTCATGCTCTGGGACGGCGCAAACATGTGCAACCGTAGTAAATATATCCTGCGTAGGGGGGCGACTTTTGTTGATTGCCGGAAATTGGTGTCACCGACGAACTAGACATAATTTTTCATTAGTAAAATAAAATATCAAAACGCGCACAGAAGATCACTCCGATGAAACAATACAAGTTTTTTTTATTAAAAAATACAAATTAGACTACGGTAGAGCCAAGCAGTAGCTTCTGTTGTTACATGAATGGGTAGGTTCGTCTGGAGAAGTACATCGGTCTCACGTAAGACCGGCGTAAACGGAAAAGGAAAAATGGCAACGCACCTGCAACGCCTCAGATATTGTAGATATCTAGTGGCGGCGGTAATCACTTATCAGCTGCTTAGCACGATCGGTCGCTTTAAAACTTTTCATATAAAAAAAAACTTGAGAGCTTTTTAATTAAATCAATTTACTGTGATGTTAATAATCTGAACTTCTGCTTCAAATGTACTACGATTTGGAGAGCCAAATAAACTTTTAAGATCGATTCGGCTGTATGTGGTTAAGCATTATAAGCGATGAACAATTGGCAACATATAATGCAAATAAAAATCATAATGTACACACACAGTTTAATATAAGCAACGTCAAGGAAATACGCGCGTCGAACCTTCCCGCGGCTAAAAATATTTATTCGAGGCTACGAGCAGCAACACGAAGCGGCGCAAACGGGTGGCCGCATCACAACGCCATTGTTCCCTCAGAAGGTCACGCAAGGAGCTGATAACGAGTCTCCGTGCAATGGAAATCGCTGGGGTACAATGCAGTGCGCTTACCGACGTGTCTCGCAAAGATTTCTACTCGCCGTTTCCTATAGGCAAATATCAGCGGTACGAACACGGGGGTAAACATTTACAGGCTTCGGTAACTTGTGACGCTGCGTTTGTCAAATGACTATTTAGATACCTATACTTTGCATGTTTGTTGTTTTCCATAACCATATCAGTAATATTCATGTGCTTCAAATTAAAAGGGAACTGACTCCTGGGGTACAGGTTACTCGTTCAGGATTCAGGGACTCTATGATTCATGCTTGTAATTTTATCAAGAAAGTTGTCAATATTGAATGAATTGTCAAATTTAATTATCCTTTCTTTTTTTGGAAAAATCAGATAATTGAGTTTATAATTATAGATAATAATTTTAATCCTCTGAATCAACAATGACGACTATTTCAAAGATTTCATAAGGATTTAGTTTAAACTATTCAAAGCAATTATCAAACCAGCGATACATTTTTTACGATTTCAAATTAGTTAAAGTCACGTAAGTTTTCATTAATGCAAGTAATGAAAACTTCTTTCGGTGAACATTGTCCCGATAGGCATATCATAGGTAATGAATATTTTTCTTTTTCTGTGGCAATATAACCAAAAGTTCTGATAATCATTTATAGAATGTATATGCATTTAAGAGTTATAAATCTAAACAGGATATAAATGCTTGTAATGTAAAATGGGAGCATAATTCGTGAGAAACTAGCACAACAACAAACACGTGGCCGTAACATGAACTGCGCAATTGGAACTGTTTGCGAATACGTTTGGAACAAAACATAACAAAATCAATCTCATGACGTCGAAAGTTGGGTATCGGAGCTTTATACGCAACACAGACGATTATTTCATAAAAGAATACATTGCTCATTTTTGAAATGACTCTTAGCTGCCGCTTATAGTCATTACGTCCTTTAAGTAATCGAAAAAAATACACAAACTTAAATAAATCAATCAATCAAAAATATATTTATTTAAATAGACGCTTGTGCGTTCTTATGAATCGTCAAATTTTACATAAAAAATTATATATATATATATATATATATATATATATATATATATATATATATATATATATAAAAATATATACATAGGTTCGTAAGGTACTACCGGTTGGGAAAGCAGTTTCTGATGAGAAGAGACCGGCAAGAAACTCAACAGTTGCTGTTTTTCAAAAGTATCAGTATACAATATAACATACAGGTATAATAGTCTTATTATAAGCGTACGTGAGTATACTTATGCAGTTTTAATATTATTTTGCAATATCGCTTTCGCTCTACCCATTATTGTGATATCGTTACGCAATATTTTTCAATTTGTATTATAAATATACATATACATATACATATGTATGTATGTATATATATATAAACCTATACACCTTAAAGATGAAATCGGAAAAGGTCGTAAACGTAAAATTTGGTTATCAGTTCCAGTAAGAGTTTCATGCTGATTTCATAAGTGATAATTTTTTCGAGTCATAATCATACAATAGATTATTTCATCGCTAATGCTAGTAAATAAAATGAGAATCATCGGGACTTGCAAACAAAGGAAAATAAAAAAATGAGATTAACCTGTTTCGAAAAGCGCCTTCGATTTGTTTACAATTAAATAAAAAAGGGTTCTTGAAGTCAACGACATTATGTCGCAAGATTTAACGTTATTGCAAAATAATACAATACTGGAATCGCCTTGTATCGGTCACAAGGTCATATTGTATTTTTGCCATGATCTGCGACTCCCACGCATCATAAATTCCGCATTATACTTTATGAAAACGTAAAAAGTTTGACATTAATATAAAATTATACGCATTTTATCAAAGGTCTTTTTAAAGGACCTCTATTTTTTTAGAAATTTAAATTGTTTATAGTGCTAATCTTTGCACTTAACCACCTCTCCTCTCTCTACTCTATTTGCTATTACCTCTATTTGCTTAAGTAATGGATTGTTGTGATTTTTCAAATTAGAATATATATGGCTACTATTGCGTTTCCGTCTATTGTGTGACCGGACACACTCGTTTAAAGATTGGCACCTCACTAGTGACAACGGGTTTTGTAAATGGTACTTAACATCAGGAGCACCACCATCTTAAGCCACCTTGTTTTATGAATAACAAGAATACTTTTGTTCTTATTTTGTAAATTTATATAAAGAATGTTGATTTGAAGCGATTATGAACGACGTTATCGACGCAGAAATAAGTTCACTGTTGAACAAAGGCCTCCAACCTAAGAACGCCACGAGCTATGGCGAGAGCTATGCTCGGAGTTTCTTTGCGTGACAAAATCCGGAACGAGGAAATTTACCGAAGAATCAGAGTCACCGACAGCTCCCCGGATTTGGAAAATAACGGTTCTAAAGTGGTGACAATCAACCGGAAGACGTAGCGTTGGAAGGTCTACTAGGATCGACGACATCGTAAGAGTCGCGGGCAACCGGTAAATGCACATGACACCAAATGATTTAAAAAAATTCTTGGTCATGCCTGTATTGCATTTGAAATGTTTTCAGTAATCGCTAAATATTAATAGATAAGGATGATAATATATAAGAAGAGATAACTAGGCTGTTTTATCATATGGCATTTTGCGTCCGGTTCGGTTACCACCAGGATAATTTAATAGTTAATGTAGGTAGCAACAGGTATGATACGTGGAACATTAACTATTTAGTTTAATCTTTTATTTGTAAAAGAAATTTGTAAAAAAAATAATCATATTAATACTGCACCTTTCTAGATATCTATGGACCTATTTTAAAAGTGTCATTCGTCACTATTTATTCATATTAAATCTGTATCGACAATGTTCTATTCATACGAATAACGTTCAAAGGCGATCAGGGAAACCTTTACGACGTAAA